CATGGCTATCAGTGTAACTGTTACCTCTAGCATCACAAAGAAGTGGTATTTTACTATTTTTACATTTTCCCAAAAGCCTACTTACAATTGACCAGTATCCTTTGCTTCCATATCTCTGATTACTTAATTTATAGTACAACCTTGATTCCATTGCCTCTTTGGCCTCACGAATAGCATCATTAACAAGATTACATTGATCAGTATATTTTTTAAGGTATTTGTCATCATGTGTTTTCCTGTACTTACGATGTAATTTATTTCTTTTATTTATTAAGGTTTTGATATCGCTTGTAAACCATGGCTTATCCGTAGGTTTAATTTCAATGTCAGAGTTTGGAATAAGATCTGTAAAAATTGCAAGTAACCCTCTAGAAAAATTGCTTACTATGTCATCTAAGTCATTACTACTATCTATCAAATGATCAAAGTCTGCTGCTCGAACTGAATTATTAATTATACTTATATCTGCTTGGTCATATTTCCAAATTTTTCTTGAATAGGGACGGTTTTTAAGAGTTTTAAGAAAACACTCCGTGTTTATTGAGCAATGGTCAGTGTTTCCAATCGGAGGAGAGACATAGGCATTTGTTATAATATCAGGGCTATTTGAAATGAGAAGATCGATACATGATCTACTAGTATTTGTTATTCGCGTAGGTTCATCTATAAGCTGAAAAAGTCCAAGTTCTTCAATGTGTTCAAATAATTTTTTTCCTGTGAAATTTTCATTGTCTGAGGCCCACCATTGTTTACTCCTTGCATTAAAATCTCCATTAATAAAAATAGCTTCTGGGTTAGAGTCAAGTGCCATATTGCATGAGTTTGAGAACCTAGTGCAGAATTCATTTGCCTCATTTTGAGTTTGCGATGGTGACCTATAATAAATTGCATATAGATATGACTTGTGGTTAATGCTCAATTCAATCCATAAGGAGTCACCCTGATCATTCATAAGGTCATTTCTAATTTTAAAAGGGATATCATCTTTAACATATATCAATAGGCCTCGATTTTTATTCGAGTATACATGACAATGACCATCTATAGAATAATCAGAAGAAACTGTCAAATCAGTTAGATTTCCAACCTCACAAAGTCCAATAATGTCATTTCCATTGATCTGTATTCTATCTTTAAGTGCTTCAAATCTGGCATTTACATTTGCACTTATACTGTTTATATTTGAGAATAAAATCTTTGTGAGCTTAAAATGATTTGTAGGTCCTGGATTCTGATGAACATCATTACTCAGTAAAAGAATAGCTTGAACAGTATTAGGAATATAACATAAAATAGCACAGAATGGAATGATCAATAAAACTATACTAGCAAACATCTTCATTATGTAAAATGTACCAAAATGTTTGTGATTGCTATGAATATAGACAATTGTGCCCATGAAAGTTAAACCATGGATGACAACTAACAATGTACTAATGCATCCAAATAAAATCTTACAAGAATTCAAAGTGATTTGCCTGCTTGAATCTGCTCTGTAGAGCTCAAAACCACATATCAATGTAAGGCAAATGTACAATGGAATCCAAGAAAATGAGTTAAAATAGTCGAGTATGCAACTGCTGCCATTTTTGACTTTTCTGTTATTAACTGATATAAAACACTTTCTACTGTTGTGTATTCCAACACTCATCCTCCAGGCAGTGACACTAATGCCCATTTTAATATTAATTCATAGATGCAATATAAGAAAAGAAACCGTACTATTTACAGATAAATTATCTGATGTGTCATGTCTGGTGAACACTTGCTATATGAAATACTGTTCCCTTGATTCCTTATAGTAGCTTATTGAATATGTAATAAAGTAGCTAAATACAGTGATAAGAAAGTAAGGGTTTCACACCAATTAGTTGAAGAGTTTCTCCACAAAACAACCTTTATTTTAAAATATTTAGTTAAAATTGATTAAAGTCAAGATATAAAACAAATCTAGAAAAGTACAGTTATAGTACTTGACTTTTACTGTAAGTGTTTGGCTCTGAAAACGGCAAACTCAATGTTCTATCTGTTCAAAGGCAAAAACTTTTGAAAATATGTACAGGGTAACTCATTTCAGGTGAGCAGTGTTTCAGTAAAGTGAAATGCACCTATTAGCGCTAGCGCTACTGATTGGCGCAATGTAAGGTCATGACCTTGGATCTATGCCAAAACAGTGTTTACATTGAGAGTGATATATACCCGCACATAAGTTTCACTGTAACATAAATGTATGGTTTGTTCCAAGTATATATCTTCTCAGATCCCAATGTGGAAAAAAGATAAATTCTGCACTTATATTTTAATACTATCGAAGTGTAATTAAAACCATTATGATATCATCATATTGATATCATCATATTGATATATAACTGTTTCTAAAGAGAGGAACTGAAGTGTACAGTGACCATTTATCACGTTTTTATCCCTATTCAACACGTAGAAACACAGTATAGAAGCATTGATTAGTCGAACACACTACCAGATCTCAATGCATCAACTGGTCTTGAATATAAAGGGCATTAGTAAAAAGTGTTGAGAAAATTCATTGGCACCGACATGTAAGCGTATCATGGCTAGCCTGTGGTCTGATCAGCTGTGTTACTTGTCATTCTAAATAAGAAGCCCAGAAGAGTAGTCATGTAGTTTCAGTGACAGTTTCCTGATCGATAATTTCGTATAGAACTTCAAATAGTAATGTACAGTACATACATGTACTACATAGAGCTTGCCATGAAACGATTTACCATGTATAAATGTTTATATATACATAAATACCTTAGTACTGTGGGGCGCCTGGGGTATATAGTCACCTTCATCTTGTGAGACAACAACTAACTGTACAAATGTTTAGGTTCGTGTGCCGTACAGGTCATTTTGACTTGCGCGCATGCGCAATGTGAATGGTAAACAAAAACAAATGTATTTCAGTACAGCCCGAGTGGAAATAAACTGCACAAAAGAATCTGTTTTACGATTCGTGTTTTGTTGTGATTCAAAATACCCCAGTTGCTACAGTCGTATTTGTTTTGTATATGACATATAAATGTAACATTTGATCCATCTAAAAGAGGAGTTTACACATTTTTACCTGGAGAATCATTGTAAATAACCTGGGAACAGTAGACCATTTTATTCCAAGGAATAACTTGAGGATTTTAGTTAAAGTCAGTTTATTTTTCGGCTGATCCAGATATTGAACTCGTTAGTTGATCAGAAAAGTCTGTCCTTTGGTAATTATTAGAACAGTTTGTAGTTAGCGAAGATTGTTTACTGCCGAGAAAGCACAATGTACAAATAATAGTCACCTACATAGTAATAATATAGTAACGCTTCTGACAGCCTGTAATGTTCGGGACCGCAAGACGGCATGTTTTTGTGCATGGGTAGGCCTAGTTCTTATTACATGAGTTTATCTATTTGGTATCATCTAAATACATGCACGGTAAATGACCGAATAACTCTGCACTGTGCTTGCATAATATCTCGTCCAAGAAATGAAAAATATCGCAGCACACATCTTTTGCTGACTACTACGGCCTGAGAACTGATAGCATTACGCCCTAGAGCAACCCCACTCTACTGAATCTGTCCCCCGATATTTTTTTTTGGGGGGGGGTATTTCTATCCGTTAGCAAAAGTGTGACTATGGCATTTATATGTCTGTTTACAATAAAGCAATTCATGTGGAAATATCAGAGTTATTGAATCATTACTTATCACCCCCTTTTTACATTAAAAGCTAATGGGGAGAATGGGGCTAAAGTTTGTTAATGGAAATGAAGTCACGCTACACTCGCCTAACTGTGATTTCCATCCCTATGAGACTCGGAAATCCAGAAATAAAGTAATTGAAAATCATATTTCTTGTATGTTGTTTTCAGTGATTTGTGTTAATAGTACCGTGTGTGCTAATGTAGTAAGGTAATTGGCATACACAACCCCACTTATGGACTACATAGTACACGCAGCGACACTTTAAAATGTTTTATTGACTTCGGCTCCTCCCCGCCCGCAAGAAAATCAAGTACGAATTAACAATTTTATTATCAGTAGCCCTTTCTATGAAAGTCATGTCATATGAGGTATATTCAGATCATGCAAAGATATGAGGGTTATGTACGAGGAGGTTTTGCATATGGGGTTTATCCAGAGGGAGATACTTGAGGGACTCGTATTTACAATGATCTTTGCAGAGATAATTGTTTCAGTTACGATGTCGTTGTAAAAAATCCTCCAAGGAAATTTGAAGTTGATGTTGTTTTCAAATAATGTGTTTAACCTAAAGTACACTTAACGTAAGATGTTTTCAATCTAAAGTATATTTGTCAGTCAGTGATTATGTACCAGGCCCGTAGCCAGAATTTGCCAAGGGGGGGGGGGTTCAATTTTCAAAAATTTCCAGGGGGGGTTCACATTTGACAATATTGGCCCAAATTAGGCTAAAATCACTAGAGAAGTGCTCAAAATGGTCAAAAACTGCATGATTTTGAAAGAATTTTTGGCCAGGGGGGGGGGGGTTCGCCCGAACCCTGCGAACCCACCCTGGCTACGGGCCTGTGTACATTTATCTTTTTGATTGTTTGAAATACATAATAATGACATAGTAGGCCTACATATTAGAAGATTCGAAGAAAATACTTTTGAGACCCCTTGTAATTTTCATTGTAAGAATACAGTCGGGTTCTCTGTTTGTATTCACCAATGTTCTTGCAAGTTCAATATCTGGGGTGGTTTGATGTAAACAGCTTTTAAACCGTATTTGCAATTTAATACAAGATAAATTTTGAAAAAAGCACTTTGCATAATATAATGTTTGCCTTCAAAGAGCACATGAGGGTAGCCAGGAGGGGGCAAGTGGGGATGCGATGCGTACTTTTTGAGGCGCTATCAGTGATGCAAACCCTAAAAATCACACCACCCCTAGACAATTGCTGGCTACGCCCCTGGAGCATGTTTATTACAGATTCTTATTGAAGGTAAAAATATGTAAAAATACTCACGCGTCTGTTGTAACTGCTATTACTTGCAATATCACTGCCAGTGAAACTGCAAATTCGAGTGCGAGGGCCTCCAATTGCATCTTGTGTCTCCCTCCTCTACCCGAGATGTAATCCACTCTCACACGGTTCCCACGAGATTAAACCTTATGACGAATTTGGCCTATTTTTCCCGAGGCGTAAACATTCTTGAATAGTGTACCCTCTAAAAAGTTAAGAATCAATGACAATGTTTACATGCCTTGTGACAACCAGGACACAACCCCTATGGGGTATTGAAACCCCGTAGTTTACACTCATATATTGATATGGACTATACACAATTTTCTATTTATTTATATATCTCGTAGAATATCCTATTAGAGGTGTAACACTTTTGCGTTCAATAATACTTAAATCTGGTCTCATTCGATTATAATCTTCAATATGCTAATATGCTACAACTATTGTATACAAGCGTGTAGAAAATTATATTCTACGGGTATCTAATGTGTACACCTGTCATGGTGTATATTGGAAGGTACAACCTTTACGGTATAATTGATTACGGGATACATCCAGTAAGACGTAAAAAGGATAATACAATACAAATGAACTAAATTACAGGAATAGTATATCGACAGATATATAATTACAAATAGTTTCACTTGTGAATAATTAGCTTTTCTTATGTTTATGTGTTTATTGATAGTAGTTACAGAAACGAGAGTTCTGACGCACCTTTAACATTGAGTCCTATGGGGAGGGACACGATTTTTCATAGTACCCTCCCTAACATGGGCTCCAATGGGGAGGGACATCTGTGAGCCTCCCTGAGCTCGGGAGGCACATACGGGGACCCCACCCCTCCCCCTCGGCGTGGTGGCGTGTACATATTTCGGGAATCTCGGGCCCTAAGAGTAACGGACGCCCTACCCCACGACTATACGTTCCGGAAGTTAGCCATTTTGACAGGAAGTCAGCCATTTTGACCGGAAGTCAGCCCGGAAGTCAGCCATTTAACCGGAAGTCGGCCATTTTGAAGCTTTCTAGCAGGAAGTCAGCCATTTTGCATCTGTCTGGGCAAGAGGGTGACATCATAGCGGAAGTGAGGCATCTTTTAGTCGGCCTGGGTAGGTTTTAAAACGGAAGTTAGCCATCTTTTCCCTACCTCCTCCCACTTCCTCCTTACCTCCTCCTTACCTCCCCCCGCCTCCTCCCTACCTCATCATTACCTCCTCCCTATATCCTCCTTACCTCTTCCCACCTCTTCCTTACCTTCTCCCACCTCCTCTCTACCTCCTCCCGCTTCCTCCTTACCTCCTCCCACCTCCTCCCTACCTCATCATTACCTCCTCCTTACCTCCTCAAACCTCTTCCTTACCTCCTCCCACCTCCTCCCTACCTCCTCCTTACCTCATACCTCCTCCTACTTCCACCCAACCTCCTCCTGTCTCTTCTCCATCTTCCAAACCTCCTCCCCTCCCTTTACTTTAATATTCAATAGTTTATAATGTCATAAATGCCTGTTTATGTTTACAATTGATCTTAATTGACACATTTTGAACCAATCACAATACTGCACATTAGAATATTCTTATATATTTTAAGTTGTCCATGTTTTGAGTCATTTTACTGATAGATCTTGAACAGACAACATGTCTTTCAATTGTTCTGAGTGTAGTGTGAATTTTACGAGAGGTGATAACCTATCAAGGCATATGAATAAGTTTCATGGAGAAAAAATGCATCAGTCTGATGTTATGCTGAAACATCCGTTTACTATGATAGCAGGTATAGGCATGGACATGTTGAAATTAAAAGTCTGATAGGTTTCTAAATATAGAAAGAGAGCATGTCAATTTATTAAAAAAAAAATTTTTTGTTGTATTTTCAGCCGGACCAACATCGTCGGGGAAGACCTGGCTTATGAAGCACTTGATCAAAAATGTTGAACGGTATATATCCCCAATTCCTAGAAGAATCATCTGGTGTTATGGTCAATGGCAGCCTGCCTACGAAGAGCTAAGAAAATACCCACATTTGGAATTTGTGAAGGGAATACCAGAGGATATTGATGATTCAAGATACCTTGACACTTCAGTTCCTACTTTGATACTTCTCGATGATCTTATGAATGAGGCAACAAATGATCAACGGATATGTGATCTCTATAGCAAAGGCAGTCACCATCGAAATCTGTCTGTGATATGCCTACTCCAGAATATGTATCATCAAGGAAAAATGAATAGATCGATGAGCTTAAACTCTCACTATATGATACTGTTTAATAACCCGAGAGATCGCCAACAGGTGGCATTCTTATCGAGGCAGATGTACCCCGGAAATGGAAACAAGTTGGTCAGAGCATATACCAACGCAACTAGTCGACCCTATGGTTACCTGCTTCTTGATCTGAAGCAAGAAACTTCGGAGCACAGCAGATTGAAACCAAATGCCTTTACTAAAAGTGAAGTTGAATTTGAAAGTCATCACGATTCCCGCAACTTCAAGGAACCAATGAATGATTCAAAACACTTACTTGAAAGACAGGGTATTTCAGAAGTTGACTATCCGACGACAACATTTATAAATAGTAGTGATGTTAAGAACTACCCTTACATGGAACGTGAATTTCGAGAAGACAGCATGGTATCCTGTGATGACTGTGGTTTAGTATTTGATAGCATTCACGACTTACAGAGGCATATAAAAAAGTGGTGTCAAGATCAGGGACCACTACCCAAGAGGATGAGGACCCAATCTACCCAAAATATTGAGGAGAAGATTCCTCAAGACAAAGACAATGACGTTGATGACGATGATGGTGATTTGAAAGCAAATGAAACATTTGCATTCTTAAAGAAGTGGTCTATAAGACAGAATGAGGAAGACCACCGACGTAAAGTGGATGAGTATATGGATAGAGGGATGGATAAGACAGAGGCTGTAGAAAAGGCAGATAATAAACTATTGTCAAAGAATAAGGAAGAATTTATGAAAGGATATAAACAATTCGTCAAGCTAACGGTTGATGTAAAAGACAATGCGTTACACAGAAATATAATTGATTCAATAAATAATATGATGAGGAGGGGTGTCTCTGTGAACTTAGCCATTAGGAAGACACTTTTAAAAAACAAACACAAGTTTGATGAGGTCTTTATAGAGGATACAGACCAGGAAAGTAGCTCCGAGGAAGAACAGAGTGAATCCGAAAACGAGGCTGTTGAATCAAGCACTGAGTGATAAATATTAGCAATTTAAAGAGAGATCGTCATTAAGGAGTCAGATTCCGACAGTGTAAGATGGCATATCAAGACTATTTAAAGAAATTATACTTTGACAGTCGAAATTCTGGAGCCTTTGCTGGACCAGACAAACTCTATAGAGCTGTACTAAATGATGGGAAATACCAGCTGTCCCGTTATCAGATAAAGAAATGGCTGGACAATCAAGAAGCTTATGGCCTACAGAGACCTTATAAGAAACGATTCGCTCGTAACAAAGTATATGTCTCGCATATTGACGAACAATGGGATGCAGATCTTATGGATGTCTCTAATATATCATCGCAGAATGACGGGATAAAGTATATCCTGGTTGCGATTGACATTATGTCTCGCTTTGCCTGGGTTAGACCGCTACACTCCAAAACTGGAAAGGCAGTGGCGGAGGCTTTCGATGATATATTGAAAGAAGGTCGACAACCAGATGTCACTAGGACGGACAAAGGTCAAGAATTCCGCGCTAAGGTTGTACAAACATTGTTGAATAGATGGGGAGTCCGCCATTTTGTTACGGGTAATACCCCCAAGGCCAACTATGCAGAAAGATTGATAAAGACGTTAAAGACTAAAATAATGAGGTATATCACGTACAAACAGAACCATAGATTTATAGACAATTTACAAAACTTTGTGAAGAGTTATAACGCCACTTGGCATAGGGGTATAAAAATGGCTCCTAAAAATGTATCTAAAGACGATGAATTGGTTATTTGGTGGCGGATGTATTATCCTAAATCAACTATCGTTAAAACCAAATCTAATCACATCTTTAAATTCCCCATTGGAGCTCTGGTAAGAATTACCCAGTCGAGACATGTTTTTAGTAGAGAATACGACCAACATTGGACAGGGGAAATTTTTAAAGTAACGAAACGTTTTATTAGGCAGGGCCTCCCATTATATCGTTTAAATGATTTTCAAAATGAAGACATTAAGGGTACTTTTTACCAATCGGAGCTTCAAAGAGTACAAGCGAATGAAGATGATATTTGGAAAGTAGAAAAAATCTTGAAAACACGAACTAGACGAGGGCAACGGGAACATTTAGTGCGTTGGCAATATTGGCCAAAAAAGTTTGATTCGTGGGTTAAAGATTCCGATTTAATACCTTTGTAATTTGTGTATGATTCAATGAAGAATTTTGAATGTTATAATGTAAATATGTATTATAGTTGATGTATTTTGAAAAGAAGTGTGTTGACGAATTAGCAAATAAATATTTATCCCAACCAAATGTAACATCCATTAAACGGTATGATCTTAAATCGATGAAGGACGTTACACTAATTAAAGTTGATGGATGGTTGATTGATAATCGATAATCGAGCTAGGTCCGCACTTTAAAGTACAGTCCAGAGTAATTTGTTTCGTAAACTGACAGCTGGATGACCTTAAAACGATAAGACCTCGCGAGTACGAAACGCCTGGTTGATAGGTAATCGATAATCCGCCTGGGCCGCACTTTATAAATAAGGCAGTGACATTTACGACGCGTACTGGTTTATCGATTTATTGTTTTTGGCGGGAATTCGAATAGTATCCTTACAGTAAACGTACAAACGTGGGGTAGGGCGTCCGTTACCTTAGGGCCCGAGATTCCCGAAATATGTACACGCCACCACGCCGAGGGGGGAGGGGTGGGGTCCCCGTATGTGCCTCCCGAGCTCAGGGAGGCTCACAGATGTCCCTCCCCATTGGAGCCCATGTTAGGGAGGGTACTATGAAAAATCGTGTCCCTCCCCATAGGACTCAATGTTAAAGGTGCGTCAGAACTCTCGTTTCTGTAACTACTATTGATTATAGTTACAGTTGCATTTTTCATTGTACAATCTTGTCATGTACTGTAACTTGAGTAAGTTACATACACTGGTCGATCAAAAAGTTTTTGTAATTTCGCTTGTTTTATGTTGCAATTGTGAATGAATTTCTAATCGTATGCCTCAATTGGTTGTAATTATATCTGTACTTTAACCGACCGTAGAATTCAGTCACGAATTTAGGTTGCTAACAATGACTTTCCGTGTTTCGTGTAGCTTCAGAAATCTCAGACCATGCTATTGTTAATACGTTCGACTAATTCTCTATTGGTAATTTTATCCTTATAATTCCTTAAGAAACTCATATATGTATGATCACATTAATTTTCGAATAGTTTGCCTTTCGTTTCAATACTTTATATTTGGAGTTTTAATAATCCTCAGAAACGTACACATATATGTCAACATTTTCTATTTGGGATTGTTAAGCCCCTATATGTTGTACTTATATTGAAGTTGTCTTTCGAAACATACCTATATAATAACTTTATTTTTGTTTGTGACCATTAATCCCCTAGATTAACATACCTCGTGGGTATGTGGACAGTAACGCAATATTCATTTTGTACTGTGATATTCATAATATACTCACCTAGATATACGTAGTCACTTAGTTGAATGCGTTCGTATGAATTTTATAATCCCAATGTTATACAGTGCTCCTTGTTGTTATTTTACTCCAGATTCCGACAATATAAACAACGACATTATTTGTCCCAGTTTCAAAAGCTATATTCATGTTTTGGTGTTTGCTCAAAATGATTTTGAATTAAATCTATATTTTGAGTGTAAACTAAGGATCGCCAATATGCGGAGAATTGATCCATTGTTGTGTTGTTGTCGTGAATCTGTTGTATAGTGTGTATAGACTATTTACAAAATGAGTATGTTTTCTGTAAAAAGTCGATCACAATTGAAGGCGTCAAACATACCCCAGATGAATACTCTAAGATTCATATAAGAAACAGTTCGTTAAGTACTAGTAATGATATGTTCGTAGTTTCACTGTGTATCGACAAATCCCCGTATGGACAACACTAGAATTAGGTTTATGAACACATTTGACAATTCTGATCGCTGAAAAAATGTCGATACCTTTGCATGTTAGCACAGTTTTCTTAATCCGGGTAAAGAAGATAAACATTATTTTTGTCGTTCAAATATCGGAAAATCGAGGAATAAACCGAACTTAACCTGACAATAAACCTAGAAAGCGTATATGTCAATTAGAAGATGTTTCTTGACTTGTAAAGCTTTTTTTAATAAGCACAGGTCAATTGGTAGTCAATTCCGGGGGAAAGTTATATTAGTTACGTGTGTTCATGTGACAAGTATAACATTTATCCACGAACATTGTAAAATAGTGCCATACACATTCTTTTCTTGATATCAATAAGTTTAGTATCAATCTACATCTCCGATCGCTGATAATTGAAGATACCTCTACGGGCTAGCCCAGTTTTCTTGATCTGTTTAAGGAAGATTAATATTGTTATCGATGTATCGAGAATCGAGAAATAAACGAAAAAATGCAAAAATAAGCGTGCATGTCAAAAATAAGATGAGTTAGTTAATAGAACAAATGAGTTGTAATTCATCAATTGCAAGTCTGTTCATTGCAATTGATAGCATTACTTAAGACCAACTTAGTAAACATAAGAAATCTGTTCAATATTATCAAATGATGTTTGTTCCACACTCATTCATCTTTCCAATGGTACATACATTCACTGGGCGTAAATAGCCTAATGTATGCATCGGTCTTTAGTTTTCTCACTTTGTATGTTCGTAAAAGCAGAGAGATATAAAACTACTACATCCTAAACATATGTAAGGGCAATTGCCACGGGGACTAACACATTTAAAATATTGCACTTGGCCTTTGTTTTACAGTACTATTCAGTTATATGCATTTAAGTTCAGAATGATCAAACCACAGATATTTTGTTTAATTGTTCTTACAGGATTCATTTATGTTTTACTAATCTGTTTCTTTATGACCTTATTCGGCCATGAGGAAATACAAATACAATTTATTCCAAGATTTATACCACCGGATTACGCAGGAGTCAAGTCAACAAGGATATATACATCGACAAAAACTGAAACTGATGCTGTTGATGACGTAAGCAAAAACAGCGATTCAGTTGTGGATATCATTACTACAGCTATAAACCTAAATACTTCAGCTGTGACTCTTGCCACTGCAGCTGTGAATATCAACACTTCAGTTGCGAATCTTAAAATTGCAGTAAAGACAACTATTCGTGATAAAACAGACGCGAGACTGGTTGAAAAACTATTGAAAACAGACGAGACTGAAGTGATTAAAATATTACTCTGGAATGTTACTGACTGTGATACTCACAAGTGTATTGTTCCACTTGGATCTGCACCTTTCGAAGATTGCGAAATACCACATTGCGAATTAACAACAGACCATTCGCAAATAGAAAACGTTCAGAATGTAATGTTTCACACATGTGAGAAGAAAAGTTTAGTCGGTGAGTGCGGGCTCCCAAAATACAGATCGCCCAAGCAGAAGTGGATATTTTGGTGTCGAGAGCCACCTAGTAGCGGCCAACAGTATAGACACAGGGCATTAACTAATGCATTTAATTTTACTATAACAACTAGGTTAGACTCTGATTTCCATGCCTACCATGGTGTATTTAAAGTAAGTAAACCAACAAGGCGACTTGTGATTTCTTGTTCTTTTTGTTCAAATGTAATACATCAATACAGTATTTCTCTTGAAGGAGGTTGAAAAAGACTTAACTCTTTTTCTGTTAGTTTTAATCTTCATGTCGCCGATCCCTTAATAATCCCAAATTGTGGCAAGAGAGAAAAAATTAATATTTTATGATCAAAGAAATATTGACGTTTTTACATTTTCAAGATGCAAAAAAATGTTAAGAGTTGTTGAGTTCTCTTTTTTAAATTTTTCTAATATAAAATGATGAGAGGAAAGATGTTCTAAATTGGTGTAATTTTCTGAAACATTCTCCCAGGGTCTTTCTTTCTCCTTATAATTAACAGATATATACAGAATAATATAACTAACATAAATAGCTGATGATACGTGTAAATGTGAACAACAAATTTTAGATGGTGCCTATAATATCAAAAATTGTCTCGAGAAACTGTCACGATATCAAAGAACTGGGAAATGATCCTCAAGGTAGTTTCAAAGACAGATAATCCATATAGGCATTCATATAAAGTTTTCGTTCAACCTATCGCAGTCTTCATCTATTTCATATTAGGTTAATCCGAATCCTCCAAAAACCCTTCCAGACTACGCAAAAGGCAAAACCAAGATGGCGGCATGGATTGTCTCACACTGTAAAACTCAAAGCAGACGGGAGTTATATGTGCAGCGATTGCAAAAGTATATGCCAGTAGACATATATGGTAAATGTGGTCGTCTGGAGTGTCCTAGTGGAAGTCTCGATGAAAAGTTTGAATGTTTTGGTTATATAGGTATGTTCTAATACGCATTATTTTGTTTGTATGCCTATTTGTTTGATTGTTTGTTTTTGTTTGTTAGTTAGAATGGTATTTTCCATGTTGATATAAGAAAACTCTGGTTAACCAGGAACTCATGTAATACACATATTTTATTTTTTATTGATATCGCCCTTTACAGGAAAGTCTTCAAAATATCCACACGAAGACTGCATATACTTGTACTTTTTGGCTGAAAAACCTACCAATTTAGCGCGGCTCTGAACTCTTACAAGTAACATATAAATTCAACTTTTGATGGGATATTAGATTTTAAAAAAACAGTAGAAATATGCGATGCTTAAGGATTTTTGAATAACTTTGTATCATTCTCAAATATAGTGTTATTACTTATGGTGACATTATATTGATTAATAAGGACAGAGCAATAAACATTCATGTGATATGACGAAAATGTTTTTCAGGCGCAACCTACAAGTTCTACATTGCATTCGAGAACTCTGATTGTAGGGATTACGTCACTGAAAAAGTATGGCGGAACGCAATTATGATGGACACATTGCCAGTAGTGCGTGGATTTTATAACAACTTCGAGACAATACTACCACCAGGCTCCTACATTCACACTAACGATTTTCCGAATCCTAAAGCACTTGCCGATTATCTGATATACCTAGACAAAAATGATACAGCATACAATGAATACTTCAAATGGAAGCTAACATATATGCATGACACATCACGACATCTATTATGCGATTTATGCAAAACTTTACACGAAACTAAAGCATATGTAAAATCGTATAAAAACATTTGGGATTATTATTCATTTGAAAACAATTGCGTTAATTATTTTGATATTCCAATTGAGAATTTTGACAAATAAATTAGACTTTGATATAAAACGATGATATCTAGATAAGGAAAGGTAGATATCGTAGGTGAGTTTGGTTCATTACAGGCTTCTAAATGTGAGGAGGGTTACTCTTCTGTAGACAGAGCAGTTATTTACGTTCAAGGTTGGTTGCACTATTTACAATCTAGATTTATTATGAAGACAAGAGTCGAATAATGGAAACACTTAAGTATTACAAAACTCCAAACAAGAATACGCTTATAATAAGATGCGAATGTTATATTTTTTAATTGTTCACTTGGATGTTTGAAATTTGTAGATATTGCTTAACTGTTTATTTTTTCGGTCTTACATCCACCATGTCCATCGGAGGAACAATATACACTAGAAAACTATCTTCCTTGGAAGGTTATGCAACATGCCCCAGAATGCAATATCCAAGGCCATTATAAATTAGAGCCCATTCAAATTACGTGGAAACAAACACTTTCAAACAAAGGGGCTTCGTTCAAAACATCTGGAAAGTCCTTGAAAAATATCTCCAAGAATTCCTATCAAATTACCTCGACAATTGATATTTCCCACCAACTAGTCTGTGGAATAAAATCTGCAAACAACAAGTCAAACAGACGCAACTCGACTCCGATGACAGAGCAGTAAAAATAAATGCAATAATCCCCACAAAGCAACTAAGGGAGCATCAGTAATACCTTGGTCACATTTGCTCCGATTTTCACTACGGTGCCCGGCCGATTGGGTATTTTGTTCAAAATTGAATACAATATTGAATAAAACATTCAATCAGTCGGGCGCCTGCCGATGGATCGGAGCATATGTGACCAAGGCATTATGGGAGACAGCACAAACATATCCCACCATACTGAGACATTCTTTAACTGTCGCGAAAGTTATAGCAATGCCATTAGAAAACAGAGATTCCCTGTGTGAGAAATGTGGAGTACTACATACTGACACTCTAACACATATTGTTCAAGAGTGTTCCGACTTTAACTCTCAGAGAGATGAAATCATAAGGTCCATAACAAAAAAAAACAAGAAACAGCACTGGGGCTACTACCTAACATCAGTGCTATGATCTGCGGACCATCTGACTTCAATAAATATAACACGACAATAGTTGTTATGTATATAAAGTTATTAACCAATTGATAAGGGAAAGTAACATATCTCTTGTGCCTCCATTTCCCAAGACACTCTAACACATATTGTTCAAGAGTGTTCCGACTTTAACTCTCAGAGAGATGAAATCATAAGGACCATATACAAAAAAACAAGAAACAGAACTGGGACTACTACCTAACATCAGTGCTATGATCTGCGGACCATCAGGCCTCAATAAAGATAACACGACAATAGTTGTTATGAATATAAAGTTATTAACCAATTGATAAGGGAAAGTAACATATCTCTTGTGCCTCCATTTCCCAAAACATGAACAGAATATTAAGTCTGTTCTCAACGATACGTCGTTGATTTTTGTAATAATATTTTTCAAACTTTTATACTTTCATGCTGTTAGAAAGCTGAATTTTACTTGTTATATAAACTATAATATGAAATCCACTTTGATGTGGGAATAATAGAGATGCATACATACATTAATGTAGTATTCGCGAATTAAACTGCTAACTATGGTTGGCCTATTAGTATAAAAAATGCATGCGTTGTTTACGGGTGTGTACAGGCGTTAATTACGCTCGTGAAGAAGTAAATTCTACGGGCGTTCAGAATACATTTACAGGCGTGAACTTACGGCGTTAAAATTATTAATTACGGGCGTTAAGACTGTTATTTTACACGCGTTGAGAAACATCTTCACGCCCGTCGAGTTCATTTTAGCGCCGTGAATTATGAACCAATCAGCATCTTGCTTACATGATGAACTCCAAGATCCTTGTGCAAGTTAATAACATACTCATGATTGTGCCAGGAACAACTGTTGTAATTGGAGGCATATGAAATATTATTTCTTTTCTGGGTATCTCGGTGCACTATTTGTGCAAATGTGAAAGATTTACATCGTATATTAAATGAGTTATGTATTCCTGGAAATAACATGTGACATATAAAGACGGCTGCATAAAGATTCCAAAAAGTACACATCTCCCTAACACCAAATTTGAACATATGTTGGCTAGGTATACTACAGTAGGTATATAGGCTCATTTGACATTTTCAGTACATTTTCAAAGAATGCCAGATCTGCAGGATATAGTCTAGAGTCAATTTGCAGTTGATCAGATACTATAATTCTAGTATCTGGACACATCCTTTAGAGGGATACATTAGCGATCTGACTGTATAATGAGACTGTAAGCTGCAATGCGTGTGAGCTTAATAAGTCCCTACCTAGCCTACCTCTGAAGCCGACGCCTAGATTGGAGAATTATCCAAAAATCATCGTATTTAGAAACCAAACATGTATACCTTCTCAAAATACTCTGCAATTCTGTCGTTTCTACAATGGGTATTGATAACTGCCAACACAGTACATGTCTCTTCAATTTGCCTTTTAATATAATTTGCTCTAAAAAATGAATACTTCTTTGGTTAAATTTATCTAGTTCAATCTTGAACGAATATTTAAGGACCTCAATGCAATACACTAAAATGTAAGCAGGCTAGCTTCTGATTGTTGTTTACTAGCGCAAGTATCTCGGAGTTGCTCTTTTAGCAAGGATGCATTAAATCATCATGTAAGTAAGGTTCTGATTGGTTCATAATTTACGGCGCTAAAAATAAACTCCACGGGCGTGAAGATGTTTCTCAGCGCGTGTAAAATAACAGTCTTAACGCCCGTAATTAATAATTTTAACGCCGTAAGTTCACGCCTGTAAATGTATTCTGAACGCCCGTAGAATTTACTTCTTCACGGGCGTAATTTACGCCTACACAGGCGTAATTTTTCGTCAACACGGGCGTAATTTTACATCTACACGAGCGTAATTAACGCCTACACACCCGTAAACAACGCATGCATTCTTTATACTAATAGGCCAACCATAGTTAACCGACAGCCGACGTGAGTCTACGTTTTATAGCTAACACATTTGAATCTGAATGGAACAGTGGAAAGTACTATTTATATTTAGATGATTTGATAATCAAATACTAGGCTAATCAATCAGCCGGCAGTTGAATTTACAGATGCTACATAAGCTGTAAATAAGAATAAGCAAATAAGGATCTGTAATATGAATTAGGTCAATTTCCGTATCATTGACTTACATTTGTTCGATCCTAATAACTATCTAAAGGTCAAGTGGATGGATTTTTTTCTATTGTTTACAAGAGTGTCTTTGAAACGTTATATTAGTATCTTCCAGAACATGACTTTGTTTTCCATAAATAGCTTTGGATATCCAAATTAATTACTTGACAGATTTTTATACACTTTCTAGCAATTTCAATAATAATCTTTAACAAGGCATCTTAAAACTACAAACTGTAACCACCGAGTTGCTCAAATCTGGAAACTCAAATCAGATTTGAACTTCTGAGACCCCGTAGATGCTTTTGAATAAACAAAGTGGTCACTTTGAAGCATGATGAAAAATACCAGTTGACCCTTTTTGACCTTAAGACAATTATTGAAGGTCAAATCTCAAATTTCAAGTCAGATTTGAGCATCTGAGAACTTGTAGGTGGTTTTAAACAAAGGTTTGGTCAAATTGAAGCAAGTTGAAGAATACTTTTTGGCATTTTTTTACCGTATGAATGTCATTGAAGGTCAAACCTAAAATCTAAAGTCAGATTTGAACTTCTGATCATGAGAACTTGTAGATGATTTAGAAAAACTTGAAGTCAGTCTAAACAGTATTTGTTAATTAAGTTATTGGAAGTCCTAAGAATTTGTTATAGACGCCAACCACAAACCGCCACCCGCCGACCGCAAACCACCACCCCGCCGACCATCGTCACAAAAAACGTAGACCATCACCACTGTCTGGTTTCATGAATACAGTTTTAATTTATGTAACCAACATATTAATTTAGAAATATTTTGTTACTTGTGAACTTGAGATATTTGATTTTCGAGAAACGAGCTATTGAAAACGTAAGATAGGAAACCATACTGTATTTTTGATTATTGTTTTATATTCCCGTTTATTTACCATATCAAGGACTGTGTATATTTTTCTATAATTAATATGAAGCCATTCTAAATCAAGAGGTCCAAAGTTCCCTAGATACTTAGATATATCACGATAAACAGAAGCTTTTTCTTGCGCAGTCAACTTCTAGAAACAAATAAAAAAGATATTCGATACAAATAGGTCACAAATAGTGAAGACTATGGCATCATTTGTAATCGTAGTGTTATTTTTGACAATATATGGGATTTTTAGAAGCTCACTGTCACAACAGACGATGCCTACAGGTAAGGCAGGAACACTGAAATATTTATATTTAAATATCGAAATGATATTATAAGTAAATAAAAATAAATTAACTAAAGACTGTGAAAGGGTATCTACAGGGTGGTCCCAAAAATGGGACACTCGTATTTCAAAAATAAATATTGATTTTCTTGATGAAAACATGTCATATTATATACCAGTGGATATGGAATTTACTTATCTCAAATTTGGTATATCAAGTTCAAATGTATTATAATGTCTGTCAACCAGCGTCCATTATATAAATGACGTTATTTTCATTTCAAAACGGGTTTTCCAAAACTTGCAAAAGCAAGTTTTATTGTCAACTTTATTTACACAAACAGACGTTTAATATGTCCACCATTTTCATCAATTGTGTACCCCTCAATTTTGACCTAAACTGGTCAATAGCATCATTGATATGCTGTTAAGACAATGAATTTCACTTTTTATTAATTCAATTCTGTCTTCAAGAGACTGGATAGATGTAAAGGATTCATGGTACACCAATTCTGTTAGTTCTCCTCATACGTAGTAGTCGCAGACGTTGTGTGGTCGTTTGATCTGGCGGAGACAGTGATTAGGGGGATGAATCTAGGCACATTTTCCTTTAAACATTTGACACTCTTGTGAGATCTATTGCTTGAAGCCCTATCTTGTTGGAAAATGTAATGATTCGAGAATGAGCTCATATCAGGATGGTCTAAAAACAACATAATTGGATCATGCGATGTCAACGTCTGCGACTACCACGTATTGGGAGAACTAACAGAATTGGTTTACCATGAACCCATTACATCTACTCAGTCCCTTATTAAGGATAGACTTGTTGAGAAGTGGAATTCATTGTCTCAACAGAATATCAATGATGTTTTTGACCATTTAAGGCCAAAATTGAGGGCTATAATTGATGAAAATGGTGGACATATTGAACATCTGTTTGTGTAAATAAGTTGACAAAAACTTGTTTTTTGCAAGTTTTGGAAAACCTATTTTGAAACTAAAATGACGTCATTTATATAATGGACGCTGGTTAACAGACATTATAATAAATTTGAACTTATGATATACCAAAATAAAGATAAGTATATTCCCTATCCACTGGTATATAATATGACATGTTTTCATCAAGAAAATCAATATTTATTTTTGAAATATGAGTGTCCCATTTTTTGGACCACCCTGTACTGTTAAAGTCCCCGTCTAAAGTTTGAAAATATTTTTTTATCATTCATTTACTATTTGTCAGGACTTAAAAAGTGATTTTAGAGATTTTTGAACAAAAAAAAAAATTTGGAAAAAAAAGTTGTGAGCATTTCATTTCTCAAATATTCAAATTTCCCGCCATTTTTCAAAAAAAGTTGAAATTTCTTAATCATCAAATATTTCTTAATGCATTTCAAAAAAGATTATCTTTTTAACACCAATGCAAAGGTTGAACAAAGGACACACTATTTCAATAATAAAATGCCATATTTAATGGGCCACTTCAATGTTTTAACATATCAAAAATATTTTGAAACATTAGTGATGTCACTTTGAAAAAAACTGAAATTTTTTTTTCGATGTCAATCTTTTCTAAATATGTTAGACTTTCATAAAAACCAATGTTGATTGTCTTACCAGGTTAAAAGGAAGAATAAATTATGTTTTAGATATCATTGTACCATTGGTTTCTATGAGAACTAAAATTTTGAAATGCATTTTTCTCAGAACCATTTTCATGCACTGATAAGTTCATTTCTCGCTTATTTATGAACCGATTTTCTTAATTTTTTCGGCAAAAAAACATGGAAGGATGAATGCTATGCATTGGTATGAATTGTGGCTAATTAGAAGATATGAGTGACCTCTAAAAGTTGGTTTTAAATAAATTCACAAATTTTGGAACAAAAAGTCTATCAAAAACCACTTTTTGAAATTTAAAAAAAAAGTTTCACATATCACACTTTGATAACATTGGGTAAGACTACAATATAAGCCAAAGTGGTTTAAACTTTAGATGGGGCCTTTAAGGTATTTTGCATGCCAAAATGGAGGTGGACTCAATTACGCAGGTAAGTTTCTTTATGGAATTCATATAGCAGAGGGTGAGGTATCAAGGGGTCTCACTGACATTTGACCTCTAGAATGGACTAATACTTCTCTCCGCAGAATATAATTGCTATTTAATTTTAATGTGAGAAGTTAAACTAAGTTGGTAAGATATATCCCATATCCTGATTTTGAGGTTTCCATATCCAGAACCTCCATATCTCCCACCATATCTCCCGCTTAAGGGCATATCTTCCCGCTTTGAAAGAGGTTGAAAAAAATTTAAAAAATGAAAAAAATGAAAAAAGGTTGAAATAAAGATTAGAAAATAAATTTAGGAAACTCCACTGGGTAAAGAATTAAGGAGTTATGTACGGTCGGTTTGGATATGAGGTTCATCCCTCGTGAGAGATGGTCATCTTCCTTCGGTCCCTACGGTCCTTTAGGTAGATATACATATTTCCCTCTGGATAAACCTCATATCCGTGACCTCCCAGTACACAATCCTTATTTATTGCAGGTATGCAGACCCAGTGTATGCTTTATCCAGATATGCTTACAACACTAATGACAATGGTCAATCAAAATAAACAGAAACTTGCAGAACTTGAAGGAGAAATAGAAGCATGTAAAAATAAAGCAAAAAGTAAGTATATTTGCATAAATGGACGCTACCGCTCAAGATTTCGGCAGAATGGGAAGCCCCAATTTGACAATTAATGTTAGTTAGAAGTACGATTTATAGGGATCGCTAGCTCACTCGCATTCATTTACATCGACTGGTTTCATACTTAAACGAGAACTCATATCGTTCTCCTTGTTATCCTTCGGAGTCGCTTACGTGATGTAACTACTATTTAGTGAATCAATGGTCATGTCCGTAGCAAACTTTTTCTAGAGGAATGGGGGAGCTCTGCCGCCAAAATTTTCCCGAAAATCTAGAGGGGAGGCGGGAAACAAATTCCAGGCCCATATTTTGAAAAATAATGGATTGGAGGTCATGTTGCTTACTTGCTATATTGTATACTATTAGCCTTGTACGTTGTGAATTCAAATCACCAGTATCTTTTTTGTTTTTTGTGGAAATAACAGTACCTATTCTTACTGAACTCACATGTTGGGTGTATACATCTGGTGGGCGGGGCAAGGGAACCAGCGTAATCGAGTGGATCTCCAGTGCTTGCGTAGACGCATGAACTCGGCAAGTACAACTGACCAAAATGTGTCAAGCCTGGAACAATTGGCTTTCTCTCTTTAAAGCCCATGCTGGAACCTAAATAGCCGTCGAAAAGTTCCTCAGCCTATAATCTAAAAATTACACATGAAACAGTGTAGCAAGATATATCTACATTGTTCTGGTTAAACAATGTTTACAATTACGAAATTAGTGGAAATTGTTTGCAGATTTTCATGACATTGTTATTGTAACATTTGAAACCAAGTAGGACCTAGATATAGGGTGAACATATTAATACCCCAACAAAATGCAATTGTTATTTTGCTTGCTAGTATATCCTATAATAGTAAAACACACCTAAATCCATTTGCAAAATTGAAAAATGAAAAAAGTCAAATTATTTATCAAATGCTCGCATATTTTCATATTGTATTTATCTGTTAGTAATGTTATGTAAGGATTTCAATGAAGGTCTACATGTACTTGACCCGAACACAATATTTGTTTTGTATTTTAATTGTATACGTAATTGTCCTTTCTAAATTAAATTTCTTCTATATCAGTTGAACAAAATATTATGCACGCCAAGTTGCAAATATAAACCTTCTTTTCGACCTTTGACATTTTAAGAAATCAAAGTCCGGAGGTCTACGTCGCAGTCAAATGATGATGAATACAATATTGGATAAAAATATAGTTTAGGGATACGTTTAGCAAAGCATTTGTTAAAACCTTGAAGTTGATAAAGAATGTATCTTATACGTTTTAGTTTGCTATGGTGAACAACTTATTTCTGGGAGTCAGTATAGGATTCCCGATTCATCTTTGAGAGTTTCATCCATATGGGATAACAATCATGGCCCACATAGAGCCAGACTTGGAACGCCAAGAAGGTATGGAAATTAAGACCCGGAGATGCAATGTCATTTTTGTTATTGGAATGCAAGTAGTATGTATACTATTACCCCTAATGCCAGCGGGGGAGCTGGGTTCGAATTTCCTCCACCGGATTTTCTCCCGGTACTTCTCTTCCCCTTACATAACTTTGGCATGCACTTGACCTCATTTGAACTACTTTTTGAGATTTTGATATATTGATTTTTGGTTTAAATGATTGCATTTATGAGAAAAACCGGTTCTGTTTTTAAAGAGCAACGGTTCCAAAAGGGTGATATTATTAGAAAGCGAATGCAACGCGAAAGTGACAAATACATTCTATTTTCAGCCAATTATTCAATATTGTTTTAACTCATCCATGGCCATAATGATACTACTCACATTAATCATAGAAACAAATGAAATAAATTGAAACTAATCCGTTAAAATCCTCCATGTTTTTCAAGTTGTCTTGCATCACTCTCTAATATTAATACTGACCTAATAATGACCGATTCATTGTAATTCCTGAAATTTACCATTTTAGTGGTGCGTCACGTGGAGCATGGAGTGCACGCTCAAATAACCATGACCAATGGATTCAGGCTGACCTTGGTGAGGTTATGATTGTCAACGGTGTCATCACCCAGGGCAGAAATGATGTAGCTCAGTGGGTTTCATCTTATAAACTATTTTACAGCAGAAACGGATTAAACATGACTGAACATTATCTGGTGAATATATTTAATTTTTTAAGTGAGTTAAGATAGCATCGCGAATTCATCTCCCGACTGACAACTGGTGGTTTACTATTTTATGGCCATCTCATTTAAATAAAAATTGTACTTGCCGCTATTCCAGTCCAGTCATATTTGAATTAAATGGTCATTAAATCGTTGGATAAGCCGTCAGCCGACAGCTTAATTTGTGAATGCGACCTTAGTTTTATCTGTTTATTAACAACACAAGGAAACTAATTAAAATTAATAAGAAAGAATTGTGTTTATTTCCATGCTACCCTTGCATTGTCTTATATATATATATTTTTTTTTTTTTTTAACTTTTAACATATGTACAAATACATGAATAATACAGTTCAATTATAAAACAAATTGATCTAAAAATAGTATGAAATGCTTAGCGAAGAATGAAGCATGATTACAATTTGAATGTTCATATACATTAGCGAAAAATACAATGTTGCAAGCTATTTTTGACTTAAAGTTCAGATTTATAAAGAGATCGGCCTTTTCCGAGAAAGCTATCCAGTTTGAATAAACAGTGTAGGCAACAATAGTCAATAATAAGTCTCTGAACATTGAGATCTTGTTTTCATGGATTTTTATATTGCCAAGTACAATGTCCTGCCATCTGATATTAAGTTTTAGTATTTTTTCAATTTTCTCCCATATTGGTTTTATTAATTCACAGTCAAATAGTAAATGTTTTATATCTTGCGTCTCTCTACATTTCATACAATTCCTATTTACACCTACATGCCAATTAGAAACCATTTTGCCACAAGCAATGGTATTATGCAGAAGTTTAAAGTTAAATTGAGCAAGAATTTTATATTACGAAATTTTATTTGTCTCAAAAATTAATATGCACAGATATAGCAATTTGTTCAATATGTTTCCATGAAGTTTAACATATACATTAATTGGTCTGTAACATTTTTATCAAAACGTGTACGGACTAAATCGAAGATGGAATCAAAAAGACTGATATACATTCACCTGCTGTGTGAGATATACTGTAACCCATTCACACACGTTATTATTCTAATTATAGATTCATCAAATGATTCTATGGTGCACAAAAAGCCTGATTCTGCATTTTTATTACTTGCTTTTTACTTCATTGTATTACCCCTTTGTAGTTGCTGACAGGGAATACGGACAGTAATACACCCGTTGTACATATGTTTGAGCCTGTTAATGCACGATTTGTACGGATAAACCCTAGATCGTGGAACGCTCATATCTCAATGCGCTTTGATGTCATCGGGTGTCCGTCATAGGTAATTGAATACTTATAAGGGAAGTAAAGCTACATGTTTTAATAGAGCTTGTACGTGAACGTGTACTATGGAGAAGTGAGGTCTTTTGGAGATGAGTTCTCCCCTTGGTAATTACTTGTCCAACTATGTATAAACGTATATGGAAAATATAGTTGTACTTAGGTCAGTGGAAAAATCAATTGAGAGAAGAACGTAAGCCCTGAGGGTCAAAATATTAAACGTTCACGTACACATTTCTTAAAGACCTAGAGCTAAACCTTCCCATTGATGTCAGCATTTCGACGTCACTGTTATGTTGATAGACCAAGGGCTTATTTAATACCCGGGGCTTAGTTTTGAACCAAACGAAACAGAATTTTGAATTGGCTAATTCAAATCGGATGCGGTAAAAACCGAACGCCAATTTGCTAACGTTCCGGGTATACGTTCGCCCTTGGATAGACTCAGTGTTATAGCATAGAATATGTAATAAATACATCGCATCGTATTAACGTAAACAGTAAAGTACAAAATAAAATACTTTTTACAAGTTATATGTTGTATTATTTATTTTCAGTTTGCGTACTTTTCACTGGTCATAAAAGTATAAGGTAAACCGAATAATTTGGCGACAAGATGCACACTGGACAAATCCGTATAGCAATTGGATGGTTTGCACTTAAAAGCGGATATATACCGTAATTGCTTGTCCAAATTAGGATTTGTGTTCACTGGGGACATTTTACAATGTAAATAGATACGCTTTTGGATGACATGTGGACAGTGTTGCCAAGTACTCAAAGTCATTGCATTGATATTACTTTTCTCTGGGTCTGACCCAAAGGCCATTACCGTCAGCATGGTTTTGTCTGATGAATGACTTTCAGTATACTGTAAAAGCCCACATTTTCTAGATGAAATCAATGTTAGAACCAATTTTATATCAACGGTGCCTTTAATTTTACGGTCTAGCCTCTTCTGCGAAAATGGTGAAAATTAGGGCAACTTTAAAACTGTAGGTGGACAAATCATTTTGCGATTTATGTTTTCTCTTCTAAAGATAGAAAGCCACGTGTTGTCGTGGTTTGAATTGGCTTGGAAAAAAATGGTTTGATAGGGACCTTTTACGAGTGCCGTTTTGCAGATATTTTTTGGCTATTCATTCCTGTCATTAGCTACATAATGGATTAAATTAAGTGTACGATGCATAAATAAGGGTAAATACGAACAGAATAAACAGGGAAATGTCCATGAAGTGCCGATTGTGTTTTTCGCTTATCTGTGTCACACTGCTCTATGGCGTGATATAAGGTCACGTGATGAGTAAAAATCCCTATCTGTTTCTCGGAAGGACAGTCAAAAACTTCAACCCTAGTAGGATTGAAGTACGTCAGTTCCGTTCGTAGTACGTTCAGCTCATCTTAAGTACGTTGTCACTCGTTCTGATTGCAGAATGTGGTGACCAGGCACCAGAAAATTTTAAGAATTCTGGCCGACCGACTCTTCCGAGTACGTTCAATGTAGTTTGTAAAAGACCCAAAACGATTCTATGTACGTCCAATACATTCGTATACAGTCAAAAACACTTAATAACCAGTTGTCACTTTTAAACGGTGGAATATTTCAAGTGGGGGTTCTAACAGGACCCCGGGGACAGGACTTACTACGAACGGAACTGTCGTACTTCAATCCTACTAGGGATTATTGGAAACGATATAGAATTAATTGCCAACGGGTTCAAACTGATTAAGGACGTAATTGAACTGATTGGCTACGTTGTATAGATGTGATAAAGACTGCCTATGAAATAGTTAGCAAAATAGCTATCACACTCAACCAATTGTCAGTTTTAAAAGTTCGAATATTTCTCAAAAGTACTTATTTCCAGTGGGAGTTCTAACAAATCATCAAAAAGCTCAGCCAAGATGTAACGCCGGTAAGGTCTCAAGTAAGGGATTTGTTCGTCTTGGAGTGTGATATGTGAAAAATTGGTTGAAAATGTTGTTTTCATTTTGTATTTAATACAATGTTTTCTAAGAAACGAAAACTGAATTTCGCAGAACTCAGGCTAGTATAACAAAGTTACATAAAATAACAAATCATGAAGTGGGGGAATAACCCCGGTCTTCAGAGATGACATATTCAAAAGTAAATCTGTATTGAGATGACATCGTCGCTAATTAGTCGAATCGACAGACATATGACGTCATTTAATGGCGGTTTCAAAAATTTCAAAACGGGACAGCATCTTTTCCAATCATTCGAGGTTGGGCCATGCAGCCGAAGGTAAGCCTTACAACCGAATTTTGCCGATTCAATCTGACGGAGAATGCCGAGCCTCTATTTTTGACCAATAAGAGACGTCCTCTTCACATCCGTGGTACCCTCGGCCAACTTCGTTTGCAAATAAAAGCTTCGGCAATCTTCGGCAATCTCGGGCTTTTCTTGAGGTATCTTCGGTTGATTGCCTAAAGTCGACACGCCTTTCAAAACACGCTTCGAATGATAATATGTTGATTTCTGACATATTAACCAATCATAGCTCCTTATTTTACATCGATATAAAGAAAGATGTGAGGAATATAACATTAGTGAAAAACATCACAGCGACGAATGGTATTCGAAAACTAGCCAGAGAAAATTCGAACAAACGAAGTTGGTAACCCTACTATCACACCAAACTAGTTTTCACTACGTTCTCGATAACGGGCTTCAACAGTGTACGAACGGACTTGACGTACTAAGAAACGTTTGGGGTCTATTTACAACCTTCATCAAACGTACTCGAATGGGTAGGTCCTCTAGAACTTAGAACATGCTCAAAATGTTCCCGTGGTCGATACGTTCTACAATTAGAACGAGTGACAACGTACTAACGACAAGCTGGACGTACTACGAACGGAACCGTCGTACTTCAATCCTACTAGGGATGTTTTAACAACGACTTGAACTGTCTGAGGACGTATTGAGAACGAGGTAGAACTAATTGTAAACGGGTTTAAACTGATTAAGAACGTATTTAAGACTGCTTATGAACGAATTAGCAAAAATATAGCTATATCACACCAAACAAGTTGCCACTGCGTTCTTCAAAACTAGTGTGCGAACGGAATGAACGTAGCTGCAACTTTCTAAGGTCTATTTACGAACTTCATGGACTTTCCCGGACGGGGAATGTTATTTAGAATTTTGAATCGATTCAAAATTCTATGGCGACCATACCGTTCTGTAATCAGGTGACCTTCTAGACTAAGGGACGCGTTATACGACGTTGCACACCGACGTGGTGCTACCTGAACGAACTGCGAATGAGATGGACGTATTGAAGACAGTTATGGACGAAGTAGCTAATTATTTTAGACATATTTCCCGAACACAGCCAGATTGAGCCGGTTTTACGACGTTTTTTAGGACTGGCAAGAACGGGTAAGAACTAGTTTGGTGTGATAGGGGGGGGGGTAAGCAATAGACGTTATTATGTCTGCCATCTCCAAAGTTCTTGGGGTTTCCCTCCTCTTAAATTATGTTTTGATTTTCAATGTTTATGTATCGCGCATAGCAACCATAATATTGAAAAGAAAGTAAATTGTCTGAGTGACTTATCGAGATAAGGGCAACTTATTCAAAAGTCGCAGAGCGTTTAATGTTGACTCATATAACAACAGATTTCAAAACAACAACTATTATTAGAACTTCTTGGATGTTCATGCCCATGTTAATATAAACCGGTATGTCGCGCTAAAAGCGACATTCCCGTTTGACGCTCATTCAAGCCACGTTAGCACGACGTTGATGATATTGGAGAGAGAAAAGCCGATTCTCGTGATTTCGGTAAATCGAACAGGAGAGAAACGATCACATCGAGCTTGTATTCGGTACAAGCTTTACTTCAGCAAGAAAAACCTCAAAGTCTGCGTAAGGTAAGTATAAATGATAAACTTAAGAATGTGAATTTTGTTTTCATAAAGAGCTGATGGATAATGAATAAATAGATAAATCTACAAACAAATGAGAATGTTACTGTATTAAGTGGTAATTTTGCCTAATCATTTAATTTGCCTATTGCCTGATATTTGCCAGGTTCTGAAAATAAATGTCGGAAATATTATATAATTCATAATGTTATCAAATTGGAAGTTTCTTGCCATTAGGAAAATTGAAATTAGGAAAATTATAACATTTGACCACTCGGCAAATTAACCACTTTGATTAGATTATACTTTATACATAAATGAAACACTCGTTTTAATTGTCTTTATCAGCTGAAAAATGGAGCACTTATCACTTCATCGGGGAAACTAGAAAAGTAATGTCTATTTTTCGAAATAACACTGTTAATGTGCCGCTAAAGCTTCCTGGTCAACTCAACCCCAAGTCAACTCAACCCAAGTCAACTCAACCCTTAGTCAAGTCGACCCCAAGTCAAGTCGACCATTAGTCAAGTCGACCCCAAGTCATCTCGACCCTTAGTCAACTCGACCCCAAGTCATCTCAACCCTTGGTCAACTCAACCCTTAGTCAAGTCGACCCAAATGATTTTAATTGTTTTAAGTAGATTAAAATACAATATAATCCCATTGTTTGTGCAGTTTGATTTGAAATCAAACTTCAAAGAAAAAAACATTTCTGCCACCTATAGATCAAAACGAAGATTTGAAATGGATCATAAAATCCCAATCTGATTGTTTATGACACCTGACATATGAGTAAGATAATGGAAATTGTAAAATCATAAATCCCATTGTTTGTTCAGTCTTGTTTTAAAATCTAGATTAAAAAAAATAAACATTTCTATCGCCTATAGATCAGAAGGAAGATTTGAACTATATCATATTGTTTCTTGTTTATTATTATTATCAAAATATAAAATCATTCAATACAAAGTAATGGATGGATGTTGGCACAATGCACATGTTGCATAAGTTACCTGTTGTCAAAAATACTGTTGCAACAATTTCGGTATAACAGAAAAGTGTATAGATAATTTTTTTATTTCAGAGAGATAAAACAAGCTCAAATATGAAGGGGTGAAATATATGTATAGCATCGTGAATAGCCCTATTAAGATTAATCAAATATTATTTTGGTAAATAAATGTCATATTTATAAAAATTATAACTGTGTTAAGCACTTCAATAGTTGATAATTTTATTTTGGAAAATTAGCATTTTAGTCCCTCATTCTTTCAAAATTCATCAATATAATACCATGAAAATAGTATATCTATTTGTTTTTTATGGTGGGGTCGAGTTGACTAAGGGTTGAGATGACCAAGGGTTGAGATGACTTGGGGTCGAGTTGACTAAGGGTCGAGATGACTTGGGGTCGACTTGACTAAGGGTCGACTTGTCTTGGGGTCGACTTGACTAAGGGTCGAGTTGACTTTGGTTGAGTTGACTTGGGGTTGAGTTGACCAGTTACCCCGCTAAATATCCCCGAGAGCAATACACCCCTTTTTTAAATGTACTGATTGATGTTAAACATATTTTAGAGGAATACGAGGGTTGCTAAATTAGCGGTTCAACTACAGGACGACCTCCAGATGCGTTCATTCCCGTATTGGGCCTCGGTTTGCTGATTGACATTGGCCACGACAGTGATCCGGGTTTACTACTTACCATACAGGTAAATATCATCTAAACAGGGTCCAGGGTTCTCTAAACTGATCTATATTTGTCAGTGCAGCAATACATTTTACTGACAACGACAGGCGACAGATCAGAAACAATGAATCCTATTTGCGCTCTTCATTTCTTATAGTATCTCGCTCACACTTTTCAACCCGATATTGACAATTTGTTTGATCACGACCTTTTTATTTTCTAGCATACGTCATTAGATAATTCCCTTGAGACTTTTGACATATTTCTTTGAGAAGTCCGCCTTCTTTGACTCCCTTTACTTAAATGGTAACACATGGATGACAAAAATGCCATCCACAAACCGTTGAAGACACTTTCAGCACATTTAAACTCAACTTCATCCGTCAGAAGTTTCAGATGTCTAGCTTAACAGGATGAAGTGGTGTTACAAGATGTGCTCTAAATCAAATTCGTCCACACCTGAGGGTATACGGGCAACTTATTGTTGACCCTAACACATTCCTCCACAGAAATAACTCTGATCGTTGTGGTGATCTCGCTTTTCAGATCTTCTATTATTTGTGAGTTAATTTCGCACACATGATATTTCAAGTACTCTAAGAGATAATGATCTGGAGGGTGCACCTCAGGCTAACTTTGGCTATAGAATCAAGGCATGCCTGTGAAAGAATGTACGACAACTAGAAAATATCTTGTAACACTAACAGAATGCATCTAGTTGAGCTAGTCATTTTAACTTCTTGTGGCGTTGCTCTAAGAATACTGGTACTGCACTATTCAAACTAGCTTAGCATCGATTTCGGTAACAAAATGGCGGAACCTCGAAGATTTTTTCATCCCATAAAATATTTCAAGCGAAATCAATTGGCTTTTCAGAATCATATGATTGTTATACATATACGTAGCGAAAAGATTGGGATGAACTATGCTTTATCTGGAGAAATCAGGGAAAAGGAAAAATCTTATCGAACTTTCAAACCGGAACTGCAGCCATCTCGCAACCGAAGCGGATCTATTTCGGAAACAACGTAATCGAGTGCAGTACCAGTTGTGAAATCTAGTTTAAATGTGCTAAAGGACAAGTCAGAATTCATCCAGACAAAGTTATGCAGCATTTTATAGATGGTATGTTGGGTCACTCTGTAGTTTAATAAGATACGCTTTAAAATCTTTTTTATCAAACCTCTGTATTAAAAGGTTTGAAATATAAACATAAGATTGTAGTTAAAGTGGTACTATTTCGTTTATCAGAGATAGTTAACCTATATTTTCAGGACACTTGTTCTGTATGTATGATGACAACTCGATCGCCCGAATACTATGTATAAATGCCGAAGACTCAAGTACCACCAAAACCTAACTACTAAGACTTGAACATTTTAAAATATCGTAAGAACTATGAGAAAAACATTGGAGTTAAATGTTAGACAATATTTCATTGGAATTTACATATTTTAGTGTCACAGTGTTTATATAGATTGTCTATAATATTTGACTTGCTTTGAAAGTAAGTGTGGTTCTAAGTGTTGTACTTACGATAATCATTCCGCCATCATCAAGATTATAACCATAACACACTTTTAACTCTGCCTTGCCTCTAGCAAAACGTTTTAACAAATCATGAATTTTTTGGGAAAAATTAAGAAAACCTTTAGTCGTACTGGTACTCATTTCGCTCCGAAAGAGAGTTACTATGGATGTCTTTCTAAACATAACATTGAACAAAAGTTGATTCCTGTGAAAGAAAGTAAACCATTAATAGGTCAACTCCAGATGAGAGAGATATCAGTACCTGGAAACGTTAAAAGATACGAGTATGGGACTGTTTGCGAAGAGAAGCACATGGTCATTATGTTTGTAGGTGGGACAGGTTCCGGAAAAAGCACGATGATCAACAGTTTTGCGAATTATTTGTTTGGTATCGAGTGGGGAGATCCTTATAGAATCAGAGTAGTGGATGAAAACATAGATGCCAACCAAGCAGAAAGTGTAACACAAAATGTATCGACCTACACCTTTTACAAAGAACGTCGGTCCGACGGATGTACTTTAACAATTATTGACACTCCAGGATTCGCAGATACAAGCGGCAAAGATGACCATATAGCCAATCAAATTGGTGAACTTTTCACGCAGTTAGGGGAACATGGAATAAATTCCATTAATGCGGTTGGATTCGTTGTAGAAGCTAGTCGGGCTCGGCTAACGATCTTGCAACGCTATATTTATGAAAAGGTCTTATCCCCGTTTGGTAAAGATATAAAAGAAAACATCGCTGTTTTGACAACATTTGCGGATGATGGTGAGCCAATAGTACTAGATGCTCTTCGACAAAGTGGTTTAGAATACAAAGATTATTACAAGTTTAACAACGGCGCCACCTTTGCAGAATACAAAGGTGGTAAGAGTGATGATTTCAACAAGAAGATCTGGTCTATGATGATAGAGAGCTTCGACAAAGTTGTACGAGATTTGCAGTTTTACCATCCAAAAAGTCTTACATTATCAAAAGCTGTCTTAAAAGAGAGAGACCAACTTAAACTACAGCTAATTCAAATCAAGGATGACGTCACATTTTCACTCAATCAAGTTAGGAAACTCAATATGATAAAACAGTCCATTGAGCAGTACAAAGTTGAAATAGAAGAAAACAAAGAATTCATAATCGAAGTAGAAGAGCCATGTTGGGAAAAGGAGCCTTCAAACTGGAGCAATAACTGCATAATATGTAAGCGTACGTGCCATAAAAGTTGTTGGGCTTTTAACGTGTTATTAAGCACATGTGAAGCCTTCAACTCTTTTGGTCATTGCACAGTTTGCCCGGGGCATTGTTCCCCAGCTGATCATATTGGCGAATACATGAGATGGAATGAGAAAACTAAAAAGGTCATGACAACTCATAAAGAAATGAGGAAACGATATATGGAAAATGTGGAAGCCAAATCTGGATATGAAGATATGCATACAAATCTGGAAAATGAAGTAAAACAACACAACGAAGGGATAAGCAACCAAGTTCAGAGATTGACAAAAGTGATCAATCGTTTGAAGGAAATAGCCCTGAAACCTGGATCAAAATCAGCAGTGGACTACATAGACGACCTTATCAAAGAGGAGGCGGAGTCGCACACACATGGATTCGATGAGAGAATTCAAGCACTCGAGGAAATTAAAAAACGTATCAATTAGGAACTATTTTAGGATACAAATAGCTGAGCTTATATAATCGATATAGCTTGACAGATAGAAGTGTGTTTGTAAATCACGTTGGGCATGAGGATGAATCTACATTTCATTGACAATATAATTCGGAGGTTGCCTATGTAAATATTATTTTATATGTATTTTATACGTATATAGTGAGCTGTTAGACCTATATCTGTAATATATCCAAATGACAATACGATTTCTATTCAGGCTAAACTGGATGATACGATATATGATATGATCAGTGTATATGTACATGTACTTTTTTAAACTAAAATGACCATTTAAATAGTTGACATTTCAATTCAAATCAAGATCTCGATGCTACGATTCATGGTATTGATAGGTTATATCGGACAGGGGTTCACCAGTTACTATTGTTAGTACCTCAGTTGAAATACTAGATTTTGATTGGTCAACGAGCGGTGAATAATTTTAACTGTACACCGCGCAATGCATTGCCGGTGAATAATATTCCCAGCATTCCACTAAAATGACGTCATTATCAGACGATAAAATGGCCGCCGCTAGCACTAGCCGTTTCGGGTCAAGATTGCAGTAAAAAAAACCCATTGACGACCATTATAACGTTTCATTTCATAATATATTCATGGGCACAGATCTAGCTCAGCGAAACAGTGCCCAGTGTTCATTGGAGTCTTGTCTAGCTTGCCGTTACAAAATAAGCATACGGTGACCACACCGTTTTTGAGATAACTGAATCTGGAGAGAGCTACCACCGTAAAGCTACCTGTTTCAGAAAATTATTCTGCTCTACATAGTCTCAAAAATCACTCCGCCATCTATAAAAATTCTGTTTCTAACCAAACTTGTAAATGTTTCCTGATAGATTAGTACTTACCCTATCGAAAATAAACCTTGATTCATTTATCAAACACTAGATGGCGCTGCGACGAGACAGAAAAGGAGAAAAGCATTTTTATACAGAAAACCAAATAACCAACGGTAACCGCTAGTATCCCTACTCCGGACTATATTCTTCAAAAATGTTGAAGATGAGGATATTATTAGTCTCTTAGAGAGTAAAGACAGTCAAAATACGAAGAAAAATCTAAAACTTTGTACAAAGCTTTTAGTGGACTTCGCCCAGGAGAGTAATTTGACTTACTGCCGTGAACTTACTGCCGATATACTGAATTACAACATGAACGTCTCGAGGGTCTGGATCCAACTTCAAGTCAACTTCAAGGGTCAGAAAAATCTAAGATATTCTTCGGACTAACAAAACAATTATAGACCTCTCCATTCGGTTTACTGTCAAATTTATATCCCTCGACTGTAAACCTCGACCTATGGTCTCGGTTTACAGTCTCGGGATATAATTTTGACAGTAAACCTCTGGAGAGGTCAATAATTGTATAATGTAAGCTATTGATTCTTCGAAAATTCTCAAAAATGTATCAAATTGAAGATGATATACTATAAACGTTTCGATTTACGTATTTTAAGTTATATTATATGCTAAACTATGAATTCAAAATAGTCATATATCTATTAATGAACTTAGTAATGTACGAGCACTAATAAAATATGCAACTGTATTTTATATTTCTGTTTATGTTATATTCAGAATGTGCCAGTTTACACCCCAGTCACATTTGTCGCACGGAGGCCGTGCGTCGACCGCAGATCAATCAAATCAGTGAATTTCTGCGGCAAGCGTAGGAAAACTACGCTCGCCTTTTGGCCTCCGCACGGCGTATCCAGTTTTTTACAGGTTGCAGGGTCGCCGTCGAAATTATAACTCGGAGTTATAATATTGGTTCATTTCTGAGGTCCCCGTAGAAATCAACTGGCTCAACAAGATTGAATCATTATTTGTCAATGTTTCACGATCACTTTTCATTTGATATTACATCCTAGCACTATGGATAACATTTATAAATTGTCCTGATGTAAATAAAATGAAAAAAAGAATTATTTATCAACAGAAATTTAAAATTCACCGTGCGGCTGCCGTGGGAAATGTGACTGCAAAAGTATGAGAGCGCAGAACTTCTACGACGAGCGTAGAAAAGCTACTGGCCGCAGAAATGATAGACCGCACGGCGGCCGTGGGAAATGTGACTGAGGTGTTAGGTCTTGGTGTTTCCATTTTAAAATAATTTCAATTGAAATATATTTTATTTTCAAGTTTAAAAACACGAGCCAGTAAAAAGAAATAAAAAAATCCAAGGGATATTCTCATGAATATTAGTCATAAGCGAAGCTGTATATCATCCTCTCCAAGTATGCCAAATTTCAGCCTACTAAACCGAGGGGAGGGGTCAACCTTTAAACAAGCCTCTAATTTCAATTTCTTTCTCGCCCAAAAGGCGTTGAGGTCACTGGTCAGAAGAAGGAGAAAGTAGCGACTGTGACCTCGACATTCTAAATTGCGGATGGCAAGTGTAAATTTCACTAGTTTTTCATCGCATTAAACTAGATTTTGCCATGGACATCAAACTTTTGAACTCTAAAAAGTTTGTTTGACATAGACAATCCGCGATCCGATAATAGTTCATGTCATCGTGCCCTTGTTTGGTATAATATATTGGTTTGAAGTGGCGTCAACGCACAATATATGAAACAATTTATCACGTTGAGAGTTACACAAAATCATTTTACACTATTCAAACTGTTGTCAATAGCTCTATGGTAACATTGACGTCAGTTCATCAATAAAGTAATTTTGTCCTTACGCAATTCTTCACCCTTTCCCCAAAGAACGTTTCAACAAATAAATTAAAAAAGTATCACGGTGGCTCAGAATGTCAAACATTCTTCACGCATTACCCTCGTTTTCGAATGCACCATGCTAGAGTTGTAATTAGACTAGAATCCAATGTCGAACACTTGTTTCGGAATTTTTATTTTCATTTATTTATCATTATCATTTACATTTGAAGTCAAACGTAGTGATACACAATCATATCTTACGACTCGAACTTTTTCTTTAAGAACTTCAAAACTGCACAAGGATGATTATGAAAACAATTATATAAATCAAACAATTTGTTGAGCACAACTTGAAAGAATATTTAGATGTGTAGCTGAATGATTTAAATGTTAACTAACCAGGGTTTGTTGATAGATATTACGACAGTGCTTCGAATCCAATATGGCGTCACTACCTAGTAAAGTTATAGGTGGCGCAAAATCTGAGCTCTAAGACGTCTTAAATGTGATGGACAATGTAGCAGTAAGGATGCAAGCTGTCATCTTAATATGAAGAAGTTAAATTGAACATGTGTTATAAAAAGGGTTCCATCATTAAGATGCAAGACTGGACTATGAAATTAGTATTGGTGAAAAAACTAAATCCAAATGACCATGGAAAAGATCTCGAAATAACGATTGGTTTATCTTTGCTGTTGATATACTTTTGGATACATTTTGAGACCCCCTTTTTTACATGAACATATATATATCAAAGGGTTTTCTTTCGCTTTACATTCTTTCAACTTAAATCGAAATCAGGGTAAACATCGTTTCCACGACGAGAATAGGCTTGATTGATAAACTCACTTCTTAAATAACAAAGAGTAGATCAAGTTGACGTTAAAAGAAGTAGCAATTTGTATTGAGTTTAACCATTGGGATTATGCTTAAACTGAAATTCGAACATGCCTGTATTTACGCCTTATATAAACTGTAAACAAAGTCAACATTTCACCCGGGGTATATTCGCGAACATTGTCCCTGGCAATACGTGTAATGTGTGACGTTCGGTCGTTCAGGGTACAGAAAACGTTTTTGCCTAGCCCTGTGGGGTGTATTAAGCGAATAGAATGAAATATTTGTTTTATTATACCATTGCTAGCTACAATCAATAAATTTCAAAGAAATAAATAATATTTGTTTTAGGGGCGGGGTCAAAATATCAATGTTCATATGGAGACGAAAGTAATTTCGTTTGGACAACAACCCCCCACCCCCCCCCCCCCTCTAGACGAAAGCTTAGGTCACTTCAAAAAAACATTGATTAATAATCGTATCCTATTTGCCGGGTTATTATTACGGTGAATTAACACACGTTCGCAATTTAACTGCATTGAACTCTTCAAAAGGAGGGAGGGAAAAGTACAGAATTTATTTGAAAAATCGTGATCGAATTATCGTCTTTATCTACCGATATTTTGGACCTATCACACAAAAAAGCTCACGAACTATTGAAAACAAGCCTTTTTATCAGAACATAGCGCCAGGAAAAGTGGGTAAGTCCAATTATTTTTTGTATATCAGATCCGAATTATCGATGTTTTTTTGGTCAACGAAAGTGCCCAAAAACCCCCTCCCCCCTCGCGAAAGTACTTTCGTCTCCATATGAACATCGATATTTTGACCCCGCCCCTTAACCTTAGAACATTTACTTTTAATCACTGTCACTCTTGTAATATTCCCCATCCTTCGTTCGCAGTTCAAGAAAAAAATCCTCTGAAATTCAATCCAGAAATATTTTATCAATAGATTTAACGTCTATTTCGATATCTTTTTCGTCCACATAACACTTGAAAATGTTCCAAGACTTTTCCGTTGATTTAATGGTGTTTTTAGAATGCAAATCCCTCAAGATGTCGTTCTTTTCATCGGAATTCAGACTTTCAAATCTTTTTCCGTCGCCATTTTAATGCACGTCACAACTGTACTGGACGAAACGGGACTATTCAGAATTCCCGGGCGGGCAATACGCCGGGCATTACGTCTTTTATAATTCAAAAATTAAGGGAGCTGTAAAATATGCTTTGGTATTTTTGATCACATGGTACTGAATCAGCCAATCAAAGGACACAAATTCTAGCAATAATATAACAATCGACAATATTACCCCTGCTCTTCGGTCAGTATTTCCTAATTATGCATGTTTTTCTTCAATATGGGGTTTGGTAAAAGGAATATAGACCAGCCGTCTATTTGTGTGTCTGTGAATTCTAATTGAGAGCTACGTGTCGTCACAAGTCTAAAAGCCCTACACCAACCAAAGTAGCACACTATAGCGAAGCAATATTTGACCTAATACAGGATGTGCCAAAAAGACTGCAACTTTTTAACAGGCTAGGAAAGTATCAGAACAATAAGGAATTGACGTAAACATTTATTCACAGAAACTTAAGGAGAGGTATATTTTACCATTCAAATATTTAAGCTCATACTGACTTCAATTTCTTTGTCAGCGTTTTGAGTATCAATGGTGAATTGTTCATTTGTCCGAGATTTCAAGTTTTTCTAGAAATTGCGACCTACGATTTTATGTTATCAACAATAAATCGTTTATTATCCTTTTTAAATCTGCTACATTTTTTGTTAACTGTTTAATCAATGTCTAGTACAGGTTTATATCAGTATCTAGTCACTATGGTATCATGTTATATTGAATTTATAATTATTTATAAGATAAATGTTCTTCACTATCGCTCCCAGCCATCAGACAAAAGTCGCTTTGGAATATCTGGAGGAAAATACTCCTCAATTCATTAGTCCTGATTAATGGCCGCCCCTTTGACTATCATACATGGGGAAAGAATTGCTGGATCCCGCCATTGACCAGTTCAGCCCTTGTCTCCGTGTGATAGTGGAGATTAAAGGCGGATGCATAGAACATTTGTTTGATAAATGATTAATAGATCCAATAGACAAACGACCATAGTGATTAGAAACTATATTTTTAATGTCAATACCTAAATGTTATGCTACAATCCAATCCTTTTAAAAAGTTGCAATTTTTTGGCACACTCTGTACTTACAGCCTTCACCAGTGTTATATCCCATGGCACTTGGTTTGTTTCCATTAATTACTACGGAATATACCTGATTATTTCAGTAAAAAAGATGACCCTCCCCTTCGGAAAAGGAGATAACAACAACAGCATTCTTTGCAATAAACTTTATTATTCACATAGTTTCCATGGTTCCTTGTCATTATGTTATCATCAATCGCATTTCTCAAAATGACCTATCCCATGGGACTTGGTTTGTTTACATTAATTACTACAGAATATAACTGATTATTTCAGTAAAAAGGATGACTCTCCCCTTCGGAAAAGGAGATAACAACAAAAGCACTCTTTGCAATAAACTTTATCATTTACATAGTTTCCATGATTCCTTGTCATTATGTTATTTATCAATCGCCTTTTCCCCTAACTGAGATCCATAGCATTATATAATGGATAGATTGAGTAATAGCACGCATTTGAAAGAACTTGAACGTAAACGTGTAATATTACGCAAGAATTATTGCCGTCTACCTCTCAAATGGTTTAAATGGGAGCCATATTACAATTATTTCCTCATACCTCCATACTCATCGGGAAAATAAAGGCGAATGCGGTGAAACTAGTCTGTTGGTGACTCTGATTTTACCCGTTTCACGTACACGTCCTTCAAAATAGCGCTGCCTTAACCTGCCTATTACACCTATTTAAAATCACACATCGACCACCAGCCAGTGTGAACTATGTTCTATCTTGCTTGAGGATAAAACTAAATACTGCTACTGAATAATAGCGTCCAGCTGTTCGTCGTATATGGTTTAGGGAACATGGGGCAAAATGGCCCTCAAAATTAAATGTTAAGTGGTTCCGCACAGGGTATTTTTTTATCTGTCAATCATCGCGCACTTTGATGTTCCATTTTATTATCAATGGGTTGTGGTATGCATTCTTCGAGTATTTTATACTTGTCTAAGACTATCATCTGGGATTTTTCAGTGGTCAAAATAATATTGAGAGTGGGGCATAGGGGCTCATGGGTCGGGAAAAACGACCCACCGTCTATTACACGGGCTTTAAAACCAAGACAAATCAATTACAGGACTCGTCCACAAACATCTTATCTCAGACGTTCAAACATTAGACAGTTGAAGTATGCATAACCCCTACCATAATTCTAGTCAGTTAATATGTGTCGGAAGGAAATGAGGTACAAACCAAATGTAAAAATCGTTATATTTCAAAATCAAAGGATAAATATGCATACTCTATGTGAAATCTTTGTGTATAAACATCAAGTGCTTTGCTACATCTATAGGACTGTTCGTGAGCTGATGAAGTGGGATGGAGCTTTAGATAGTATAAGCTTGGCTGTCTCTGTCGTCAGGCTTGTGACTGACCTTTGGCTGGTTTAAGATCTTTGATGGTACCAACACTCCCATTCCAGGGACTGAAGCTTTGGGACATTTCATTTGGTGGTTGAAGAATGATGGAAGCTTCTTCGTTTTATTGGTGGGTCCATTTGTCACGTCTTCGTATCCAGAGCCACCTGGAGCACGATTCTGAAACTGCTCCAATTTCTCTCATTGCTCGTCTAAGTTAGCTAGAATGTACCCCAATGTCTTTGAACAATGAACGTAGAGACAAAGCTGGGAAGCCCCTGCACCCTATTCTACAATTCTCTATCGTTGCCGGTTTTTGAGATTTTCGTGGGAGGGGTAATTTGCAAAAAAGAGAGTGAAAAGTAAAATTGCCTCTTGCGTAGGGCGAGACGCTGCTAGGTTAGAAAGGGGTGATCGAGACGTTGGCGGAAATGTCAAGATCGAGCCATCTTTATATAGTTCAAAGGCTATTTTGATGGGCCAATTTGCCCAACATGGGCTGAATTCCCCATGTTCCTTTGTATATTATAACTGCGGTTATATGGGCTCAACTGAGACATTATGCAACTATCAATATGAATATATCAATTTTATCATTGTGTTAAAAAATTTAAAATTCAGTTAGACTGAACAATAATATCGTATGGCGCGGGCATCCTTGTGAGTCCAGTAACTGCCCCTACGTCACGACAATTGCCCTCGCTGGCGTCCTTGAAAGAGAACTTCTGAAGAAGACGGGTGAAGAAGATAAAGAGCTCCATTCTTGCCAGTGATTCACCTAAACACACACGTTTGCCTGAAATGGTAAGTTATAAAACATGTTAAATGTGAATGAAATTGTGAACAATTATGAATATTTTAGGGTGGTTATGTGTCAAGTCGTTATTCAACTGTTATTTGAGTTTGTTTTTAAGTGACCAAGTACAATACTTTAATACCGTATAGTATTCTTAAGAATAAAATTTAAGGTTCCCCTATTTCCCATGAAATAGCCGCTCGTAAAATGACTATTTTGTTATTGTCAAAAGCTATAACTGACTCAGAGTTCATCGGCAATACATGGTACGCCTATAAAGAAGCAGATATTGTTCACATCCTTAAAGCCCTTTCAACTACTATTTTAGCAAAAACTTTCCATCAATTTTTCCATATAAATGGAAAAATAGATGGCATCATGGGTATTGTTAGGGCTAAATAACATGGAAACTTGATACCAAGAGTCACAAAACTTACCTATTCCAAACGGGATGTTCATGTCCTTCTTAAAATATTTTTCGTCCTTGAGAAATCTACTTGGGTCAAAAGTGTCAGGGTTTGACCAATCTTTTGGGTTCATATTCGATGCATATAGATTAGGGATAACCATTGCGCCTATAGAATAAAAGTTAAACGTTTGACGTTAGGTTCCCGTTATTAGGGAGGTTAAGATTAGCGTAAATTGCCCATTACCTATACCTATACGTAGTTTGTTATTGCACTAACCGGTATTTTACCTAAGTTACAGGGTTTGCGATACGTAATTACTTATAAATGGCCGAAGATAGGTAATTCGAAAACGTATGTTTTTATCCAACAAATTATGTCATTTGTAGATCAAATATCATTCATTAAACTTTAAAATAGAGACAACAAACATTCATCATTCGATATGCATAGAAATTAAATGGTCGAACACAGCCATTGATGCGATAAACGATGCCATGAGATTATGCATAAAATTGTTTAATTTACATATTGTTCAGCAATTTTGCTTATACTGTAAATGTATGAAATTAGTCATATTCTCGTGGTTTTAATTGTTTAATTTTACTATTTTGTCACTCTTATTGCCGGATCATGCTAGAAATTCAACAGTTCGCCTTAGGTCACTACCCAATTAACAACACCCCCCTCCCCCATTAAAGTAGCTACACCACGCCCTCTGAACTGCATAACCATTCTTGGTGGTGACATATTCTGGCAAATACCATACAGGCCACCGTACGGTATACTTAGGATGTCATTTTTATCATAAATTGTTGCATACGATTTCGTAGCCTTTTACGTTAATCTTAAACTCATTTTACAAAGCGAATTACCTATACGTATCCGTAACAAACATACGGATAGGGATAGGTATACGTATTTTTATACGCTAATCTTAACCTCCCTATTGCCAATTATAAAGATTTTGTTTTTATGTTTTGTATAGCACCCATTCTTCCATTCACCAGTATAAGCAGAACTCAATGATTTTGTAATGATATCAAGGACAAAGAACAAATGCATGAATAAAATCCACGATATATAACCTTATTTATGCTTCACTTAATATACACACCGCTTGGATGAGGCATAATGGTAAACTGCAAGATAAATATATTCGAACTAAATATGGCTAAAATGATCACCTTTTGGAAGATGATATCCTCTGAGTTGAGTATCCTCTAATAAAGTGTGTGGAACAGACAACGGAGCGACATTACCCAAACGCTGTACCTCAGCAATAGTTGCCTCTGTATACGGGAGAATGCTCTTATGTTTCATGCACGGCATTTGATCAGCGCCAATATTTTCCAAGATTTCTTCACGAACCTGTAATAAAATAAGTGTATTTTAATTCAAATAATTTAATTATCGTCTGGGTTCAACTGATTACGTTATAAATCCGAGCAAAACAGACTGGCAATGTTTGTCATAGCCTGATGTATTTGTGTCCATCGACGGCTGTTGCCGTATCAAAATGACAGACAATAATATACTATTTTGATTTTATGTTCAAAATATCTTCTCTGTTGAGTCTACGTGCTAGCCCCGTCGTTTAAAAACGTCCCTCATTGTGTGTGTAAATGCCAGAACCATAAGAAAGCTGTCTACAATTACGGTATAGCTACTTAAACAACATGATGATATGGCTGATTCTTGATAACCACTCAAAACTCAGAAATTGCACCTATGCTGATGGTAGTAATTTTAAACGTGTTAATCGCATACATAATGTTACATAAGCATCTAAACAGAATTAAACTGGATACACTTTTTAGTTTAAAAGATATTCGATGTTATTCGTGGGCCGAGACCCAATCTATTGACGTCTTCACTATTTGTTAACTCGAAGTATTACCCTAGTTTGTATATCGGGGTATTGAATCATATACAGCACTGCCCAGCGCAAGGTGGTTGTTGTCGTCTCAGTCCCTGCCAAAAACAATTCCGTTGTAGCTGCCATAAGAACATTTTCTGAAACATATTCCCTCAAATTTAGAATCTACACAAAAAAAATTTTGCTACGTAAAGGCAAACATGAGACATATATTTCGAGAATATACATGCGAAACTCCATCCTCTAGGTATCTAAATATGTCGATAAGAAGTGCTACTACAGTATATTACATTGCTTCAAAGCCAAGCAGTTAAACCTGAAATATAAGAAATATAAATAATATTGTGCAATGATATATAGAAAAATATATCCATATTGCACACGAATGACATTTGTATATGTTGGATTGCTTGTACATTGGCTCATAAAGTCTGTAACCTCTTATATTTTGATGCTTCGTCCCTACCATGTTAATTCTCAAAAAATAACATGGCAGAGAGACCTCAAATTACAAGAGGGCACAGGCTTATCGCACTAAACACTAAATAATCTGAAATATACAAATGTCATTCGTGTGCAATATGAATATATTTTTCTATATATTATGGCACAATGGTCTATAGACTTTTTATATTTTAGGTTCAACTGCCTGCCTTTGAAGCAGTGTAACAGACTGTAACATGTACTGTTATCAAGTAATATGAATAATTATTGTTTCCAAATAATGCAGATGCGAGTAGGTAGTTACCAGTTTCACCACCAGGTGGCTCGTTCGGGTCAGATAGCATGGCGGATATAGCAGAAAGTTCCCTTTAACTTCAATTACATCTGTTTTAGTGGTTCAATTTTCATATAACCCTTATGTATCTAATCGTTATGCAAATCAAAATATGTCCAGTGAATGAAAATGTTATCTGACCGATACGAGAAGAGATTTTACTTTTTGTGATTTTGTAACATGGGCCCTATGGAGAATCAACCCGAACTAGAAGTCACATTTTCAAAAATAATTAAATTTTCAAACTTGATAAACAATTTTCGAAACAATATTTCTAGATGTACTTTTACATGTAGATTTCAAATATAACATCGTTTTGAGTGAATTTTTGATATATAATGGCGTAAATTAAGTTTTTTTTCTACTCGCATCTAGTCTATTGTACCTGTGTCATCATCTGGAGCGCGTTTTCTACTTTGTGAAATGTATTGATAAACAAAATCATCTTCCTCAATCGCGTTGTCATTTGCCGCATTGAGATGTCTTTTAACATGTCCCCCTGCAAAATCTTGAGTTACCTGTAATAGAAAACATACATTGGAGTCACATTGGGTTACCATAGTTATTATCATAAAATTGAAACGTCTGCTATTTGATTAGTGGAGATGAGCCCTGTAGTACTGAAATAGCGATAACTTATTTCAACCGCTTATTAGGGCAACAGAGAATATACTTGATAATATAAATACGATGTCTATTTTTGCAAGTCGTAACTATTTTCTAAAAAATAAGTAAATTTACTACTACAGTGATACTTGGATTGATATGTACAGGGTGGTCCAAAAAAATGGGACACTCGTATTTCAAAAATAAATATTGATTTTCTTGATGAAAACATGTCATATTATATACCAGTGGATAGGGAATTTACTTATCTTTAATTTGGTATATCATAAGTTCAAATTTATTATAATTTCTGTCAACCAGCGTCCGTTATATAAATGACGTCATTTTAGTTTCAAAACGGGTTTTCCAAAACTTGCAAAAAACAAGTTTTTTGTCAACTTTATTTACACAAACAGACGTTCGATATGTCCACCCTTTTGATCAATTATAGCCCTCAATTTTGGCCTAAACTGGTCAAAAACATCATTGATATTCTGTTGAGACAATGAATTCCACTTCTCAACAAGTCTATCTTTAATAAGGGACAGAGTAGATGTAAGGGGTTCATGGTAAACCAATTCTGTAGGGTCCCCAATATGTGGAAGTCGCAGACGTTGACATCGCATTATCCAATTATGTTGTTTTTAGACCATCCTGATATGAGCTCATTCTCGAATCATTACATTTTCCAACAAGATGGGCCTCCAAGCATTAGATCTCACAAGAGTGTCAAATGTTTAAAGGAAAATGTTCCTAGATTCATCCCCCCAATCGGTGCCTCCCTCAGACCCGATCACACGATCACCAAACGTCTGCGACTACCACGTATGGGGAGAACTAACAGAACTCGTGTACCATGAATCCTTTACATCTATTCAGTCTCATGAGGACAGAATTGAATTAATGAGAAGTGAAATTATTTGTCTTAACAGCATATCAATGATGCTATTGGCCAGTTTAGGCCAAAATTGAGGGGTACAATTGATCAAAATGGTGGACATATTGAACGTCTTTTTATGTAAATAAAGTTGACCATAAAACTTGTTTTTGCAAGTTTTGGAAACCCCGTTTTGAAATGAAAATGACGTCATTTATATTATGGACGCTGGTTGACAGACATTATAATTAATTTGAACTTATGTTATACCAAATTAAAGATCAGTAAATTCCCTATCCACTGGTATATAATATGACATGTTTTCATCAAGAAAATCAATATTTATTTTTGAAATACGAGTGTCCCATTTTTTCGGACCACCCTGTATATATTGATGAAATTTACTTGACCTTAAATGATGATTTTACAGCTTCCTTCACATTAAACAAATCCCCGGGAATCCATTGTAAAAATGGAAAGTTCAGTGTAATTGAATCAGCTCCACCCCGTGCAAGAATGTTATTACACTCTGCCAGGAACTTCTGGAACATCACATCGCTGTATTCGTGCCTTTGTCCAAATACGATAGATGAGATTACATTAGAGACAGCGTTATTGATATTTGGGCCTATATCAAACGATTTTCCCAGCGACTGATGGATGGCTGCTTCTAAATGAATCATCTCCTCTTGGATCTTCTCTTCAACTAATGGCTTACCCATTCCAAGATCTCTGAAGGTGGATAAGGCCAGCCGCCGACGTTGCTTCCATTTCTCGCCTTGGCTACTGACGATACCTTGAAAAACATTATTTTATAACGGTTGTACATATGGTGGTTTGAATCAAAAATGTGGGTTAAACCATCGAAACGGATTATAATGGTTTCTAGACAACTCATCCCAAGACAAGTCATCCCTAAGATAACTCATCCCAAGACAAGTCATCCCCAAGACAACTCATCCCAAGACATCTCATCCCAAGACATCTCATCCCAAGACAACTCATTCCAAGACATCTCATCCCAAGACATCTCATCCCAAGACAACTCATCCCACTTGTATAATTGATAAATTATTTTGTCCTCTATATTATATATATCCCTTTTTCATTTTTATGATTACAAAGTGAATTTTGATTACACACTCAAATTTTAATACTGATTTTTAGCATTTTGAAATGGCACTTGAAAGTTATGTTTTACTTGTAAGTACTGCCGCTACTTTGATGAATTCTGGGTTATTCTAAATATATTTGAGAATATAGGATTGAACATAAAAGTCATAGACATTATTTCCAAAATTAATCATCATAAATCTGAAAGTTTGAAATTGGCAATCTTATTTAGGATTAAGCCAAAATATTTTAACAACAAATACTGAATTAATCTGAGAGAATTATTCTGATAGCACCTTGGATAATACATTCTAACTGACGAGTTAATCCTACACCTTTGATGATCTTTGATTTAATATCAAAGTATATATTAAATTTGAACATGTTTATCTTTATCCCAATCAGTCAACAAAAATTAACTAAAAATAGGCTAACTAACTACAAAATACAAAAATATTAAGTAAATATTGTCAGTTTTAAAATACAGCATGAAAAATGTATTAATAAAAAACAAAGATATTCCACGACCATTGTGCTAACTGCTAAAATCTCTAAATATTTTTCATTCTTTCAAAATGAAAATTAATTGTATAAAAGTATGTTTTATTTCAAGTTGAGAAGAGTTGTCTTGGGGATGAGTTGTCTTGGGATGAGATGTCTTGGGATGAGATGTCTTGGGATGAGTTGTCTTGGGATGAGATGTCTTGGGATGAGATGTCTTGGGATGAGTTGTCTTGGGATGAGATGTCTTAGGGATGACTTGCCTTAGGGATGACTTGTCTTGGGATGAGTTGTCTTAGGAATGAGTTGTCCTGTTACCATTATAATCCTTGACAGAATGTCACGTTTAAATTGTATCGCATACACAAATATCACTTGGGGAGAAATTGTGGGTAGAATTGCTAAAATTGCAAAAAACGTCATCATCAAAATGCGGGAAAACATGTTACAAACGCCGACGACGAAAGCCGACATCGGCGACACCGAACGCAGGTAAAAAAACTAAGCTAAGACGATATGTTACCGCTTTTTGAATGTTACAAGAAAACATATAGAGGTACAAAGATTGGAATGTTTATAGAGACTTTTCTGCCTGAAATCGTTTAAATTTAATTTAATTTTTTGCGCTCATCCATTACGGTTATATATCATGTTATTATAAAAGATGTACAGGTAGTTGGACGATCTCGTTTGAAAAAAATTAAATTCATGTACTTTAAAAACTAGTTTACCCGTTCGTGTTATGAACAATGCGTTACCTGGGTTTTATCTAAAAAATGTTTCAAGTTAAATAAATATGAATGAATAAAGTAAAATTAGTTATTGAGAAAAGGCAGTGTAGCATATGTGATTTACAGGTTCATATTTTTAGCTTGGTATACCCGTTGAGAAATATTCTTAAAGTGTTGAAGACTTCAAAATAGAAAAATCGTTAATTGATGGTTTAAACCATGATATAAATGCAATCGTTATGATATGAATATCATAATGTACAAAGCGAGCTGACTTTCCTACAGTTTAAACCCCACTAAAGTAGTAACAAAATAAAATGAGCTGCACATAGTCTATTTTAAAGAATGTACGAATGTTTCAAAAACAAAGTACATCTTTCTGTTGAAAATGTGTGACCTCGCAATTTGCACCGCATGGCTAATTGTTCTTTTCGTAATTTCCGGAAATATAACTTATTTGATATTACATAATCCACTTGCTCCGCGGTCACACAAAATACAACCACCGTACCAGGCAATGGCAGGCATGTTACATACGGTGCACTGGAGCTGAACTAACTCACACAAAATACAACCACCGTACCAGGCAATGGTAGGCATGTTACATACGGTGCACTGGAGCTGAACTAACTCACACAAAATACAACCACCGTACCAGGCAATAGTAGGCATGTTACATACAGTGCATTGGAGCTGAACTATTAATACAACCACTGTACCAGGCAATGGCAGGCATGTTACATACGGTGCACTGGAGCTGAACTAACTCACACAAAATACAACCACCGTACCAGGCAATGGTAGGCATGTTACATACGGTGCACTGGAGCTGAACTAACTCACACAAAATACAACCACCGTACCAGGCAATGGTAGGCATGTTACATACAGTGCACTGGAGCTGAACTTATTCACACAAAATACAACCACCGTACCAGGCAATGGTAGGCATGTTACATACGGTGCACTGGAGCTGAACTAACTCACACAAAATACAACCACCGTACCAGGCAATGGTAGGCATGTTACATACAGTGCACTGGAGCTGAACTCATTCACACAAAATACAACCACCGTACCAGGCAATGGTAGGCATGTTACATACGGTGCACTGGAGCTGAACTAACTCACACAAAATACGAGGGGTGATCCAAAAGTCTTGGACGCCCCGCTCTAACTTTGCTATTTTCTAATATAATTGCACGATAATTGCACGATAATAAAGATCAACATCTTAACAACTTTGTGTATAAGTTTCAACAGAAAATAATATATTTTAGCTTTTTGGTAAAGATTTTTTAACACTGGGTCCCTGCCACCCGGAACGGTATTTAAATATAGCAAATCACGTCACAACTGTTATAATATGGCAAATACTTTAGGTGCGGGTGCACAACCTAACACCAGTCATGATATGAGAGAATTTTCGATTTTCAATCTGAGTGTCAACTGCCATCATCATCTTCACATATTAAGATCCACTTTTCAACATTTTTTCCACGAATTTGAACCCATCTTTCATACCGCTTTAATTTACCAATGAATGGAAGACATTTATGAAACCGCCATTCCTTATGTGATACAAATGCTGCTGGAGTGCCACTCTAAACCTCATCTAATGAGTAAAAAAACATTTTCTTTCAACCCTTCTTTCAACTTCGAGAAAAGGAAAAAAATCACACGGAGCCATATCTAGACTGTATTGTGCATATGGTAGCTGCTAAAGGTCAATAATAGTGAAAATATATTGTAGTATTCTTTGTTCCACTTTGATTTCTTTCATGATCTGCATTTCAGTAGCCATTTTGGAGCAAAAATGATACCAGAATGAGGGTTGCTTGTCTGATGTCACTTTCTTAGAACTTGACATATATGATCATTGTCATATGTGACATTATAATGAAAACACAATTAATTGGTTGCCTAGTAAGAAAGGAAGTAAACTAACATGGTTTAACATTCACAATTCAAAGAAAGACAGTGGTCAAGACTTGCGAAACAAGTCAAATGTCGGCAACATTTAAGGCTGAAAGTTGTCATGTGTGAATACCGTTCCGGGTGGCAGGGTCCCCATCTTAAAAACTGTCTAGAAAACTACATAAACATTATCATTTCTCCATGAAATTTATACACAAAGTAGTTAGGTTGTTGGTCTTTATTATTGGAAAGTTTAAAGTGATTTTATCAAAAACCAACAAAATTAGAGCAGGGCATCCAAGACTTTTGGATCACCCCTCGTACAACCACCGTACCAGGCAATGGTAGGCATGTTACATACAGTGCACTGGAGCTGAACTCATTCACACAAAATACAACCACCGTATCAGGCAATGGTAGGCATGTTACATACGGTGCACTGGAGCTGAACTAACTCACACAAAATACAACCACCGTACCAGGCAATGGTAGGCATGTTACATACAGTGCACTGGAGCTGAACTAATTCACACAAAATACAACCACCGTACCAGGCAATGGCAGGCATGTTACATACGGTGCACTGGAGCTGAACTAACTCACACAAAATACAACCACCGTACCAGGCAATGGTAGGCATGTTACATACGGTGCACTGGAGCTGAACTAACTCACACAAAATACAACCACCGTACCAGGCAATGGTGGGCATGTTACATACAGTGCACTGGAGCTGAACTAACTCACACAAAATACAACCACCGTACCAGGCAATGGCAGGCATGTTACATGCAGTGCACTGGAGCTGAACTAACTCACACAAAATACACCCACCGTACCAGCCAATGGCAGGCATGTTACATGCAGTGCACTGGAGCTGAACTAACTCACACAAAATACACCCACCGTACCAGCCAATGGCAGGCATGTTACATACAGTGCACCAGCCAATGGCAGGCATGTTACATACAGTGCACTGGAGCTGAACTAACTCACACAAAATACACACATCGTACCAGCCAATGGCAGGCATGTAACATACAGTGCAATGGAGCTGAACTAACTCACTATCTTACATTAATCAACTCACAATACCTCCAGTTGAATAGTCAATACTAGAGGTGTCAAGTATTAACCGGTTAACCGGTTAACCGCCGATAATGCCTTGACCGGTCTGTGTTTTTATGGGCGGTTAGTTGACCGTGTATAATTCTGTTATTTCCCGCGCTTATTTTGCATGCTAATCCGTTTGGTTTTATGGTGTCAGTTTCACGTAAGCTACTCATACATGTCATAAGTCCTATAACTCCTTACAAACATCCAATCAGCAACTTTAATCCCTGCCACATTGCTTTCCCGCGCTTACTTTGCATTTTAATCTGTTTGTTTTTCAAGCGTCAGTTTCATGTGAGCTACTCATACATGTGATAAGTCCGATAATTCCTTACAAACATTCAATCAGCAACTTTAATGCCTGCCACATTGCTTTCCCGCGCTTACTTACATAGAATAGAGTAAAGCTTGACGCACGTAAAAATAAACGCCGATATATCATTTTTCCAATTTTTTTCAACTTTCAAGGTCGAAGATGAAGATTTCATTTGAAATTATCAGTTCAAATTTCCCGCCGGTTAACCGACTTTAACCGGTAAAAACCCCCGGTTAACCGGTTAATGCTCAAACGGTTAATTGACACCACTAGTCAATACAGAGGAGATTTAATTTTCCAGATTAGATCATGGACCATATACCTTTCAAAAGGGTCAGTGCGGGGTTTCAATTAGATAAACAATTCGACATGGGTCTTGGGAAAATGATAGCCTCGGGCCTATCGGCTCCTGGCTGTCATCTGGCCTAATACCATAGACGAATTTGTATTCATTACCTAATGTTATTGTAAATACGTATTGCGTAATCATCAAATGGATTCCAGCGGATATTCTCAACATATCTCCCAATTTCTCCTTTCACATATTTTCCGGCTAATGAAATATTTTGGGGCTTCTACTAATCAACCCGAAAACCCTCTATATTTCCAAATTAGAATATGTTCAATCTTAACCAAAGAAAATTTTGAATAATTAGAAAAACTAAGTACAATTAATAATCCGTATTACTACTGACAGGTCGCATCAAGTTACACCATTGCAATGGCATGTTCAGATGTATTTGAAACTACTGACCTCAGCTTGGACCCTGCTATTTTTAAGCAGTGCTCGACACTAGTGTGATTACTTTTTGACAGGGTTCTGATTTCTAAAGTTATCATGTTATCCCTTCTCTTGTTCTAAAGGAGGCCAACAAGGGTGTACTTGAGACCTAAGTAGCTTTGCCAGAGAAAAAAATACACTCAAGGTTTATATATTAAAGATAAGTAAGTACTATTGAAGTTGTTAATCCATTTGTGAACCAACCCCAATGTTTTCATTGTTAAATACTGTTTGTACCGATTAAGCCTGTGACTAGAAACGGTGTATATTTATGTAAATACACGCAGAGTCTACTTAGTGCTTTTGCCATGATAAGATTTAACTCTTCAAATTATGTTTATTATCGGAATGCAATGCTTCAGATGCAAACATTGAAATCACGCCTATGGTTGTACATTTTCTTGTTTCAATACTAATAATGCCCCAGTCACATTTTGTTCTACAAAATCTCCCAAAATTGAGAGACATGCAGCATAAAATATAGTACATAGGGATAAGCAGAGCAGTACAATGTCGATTTTCTATATATCGATTTTGTAAAGCTACGGCCACACGGAACGCTCGCCGTAGGGCAAACGCGACTGAGGCTAACTTACCGTACTTGGTCCAGCCCAACATGTCTCCTATGAAGGTCGTTACCCTCCCAGAATACACATCTTGGTGAAGTAATTCTTTCATTGCCTCATAACTATTCAGAACAATAGTAGTTCTACCCATTAACTGTACAGAAATTATGTCAGTGTTGTAACCGTGTTTCTCAGCCCATTCAGCAAGAATCTTCGCCGGGTCTTTTCCCAACATAAACGGTATACTTCCTATGATAGGCAGCCTAGGCGGCCCTGGGGGTAGATTTAGTCCAGTTATGTAGTGTCTTAAAAACAGAAGAAACACAGCTAACAAGACAAGACAAGTTATAGTATTTAATCCAAAAATGTCCATCGTGGTTTCAACAGCCATAACTCATAACAATATGTTGATCGAATTATATCTGTTGCAGTTTAATTTTTGAATTATGAGACGTCCTTCTATAGCAGCTCAGGAAAAAGTGACATATCCTAAGACCATGTTGTTCAAGTGTACAGCATTATTGAACTGAGTTGTTATCGGTCGATAAATGGTCTGCTTTACTTCAGCGCACTTTCGTGTGTAAGCCTATTTGTAACATGATAGTTGTAAACACTACTCTCAGTAAATCACCCATTCTCAATAAGAATGCAAAATAGGTGACCCAGGGCTCAATCTCAGCATGTACATTACCAACATCACTTTTTGTTGTATATATAAATAGTATATATGACCCTCTACCTAGCACGTTTGTAATATATGATTTCTCAGTTACACATATTTTATTATATGTACTAGAATAGGGCTATTCATCAGTTACGTGACTGTCGCCATATCAAAAATCAGGATTGTATGGTGCCATTAGAGAATTTTTCATGCATAACATCCCATATAAAGTGGTGTATTATACACAAGACGATCCCAGCTTCTGGTTAAATGACAGAAACTATCATTTTGACATTTTTACCATGTTGAAACTGTTCCTTGACCAATGTCGCCAGACTTTTTTATATCAACCCCCCTGTGCTATAAATCAAATAAAAACTGGTGAAAAAATAATGTTTCATATGTGCCATATACGTATCTGGATTCCAATTTGAATACTTAATAGAAAGTCGTAAAAGTTGATATTTGAACATTGAGATTTTGGGGCCAGAAAATTATAATTCCCGTTTTTCATGAAGTTATAGATAAGAAAATCATTTACGTGATCATACTTTTCACAGGCAATAAGTGTCTGAGCAAATTAATGTTATATCACCTTATTGTATGGTAGGAGTGATCCTTGTTGATCAGTATTTTAAATTAAATTGACATTGTTTGAATATAATACAGCCAGCAAAAGTGTATTTGCATCATTTACGACACCATCATTTACGATACCTAGTAGTACGAAAATAACGGTTACCATACTCCTAGCTCTGAATAAAGTTTATAAAGCGGGAAATTTGAGTATTCATATTCATTTGAATCTGAATAAAGAAACACTACCACCTTTGTAGAGTAAATCAACACAATTTAAGGTATATATCACACCTAATATAGTATCTCTCTTGTAAAACGAAGATGTAGTGTTAATTTGATGTTATCTATGGCATAAAGACAGTCAGTATAAATGTGAAAATGAATATAAAAACACTTTTCTATCATTCAATTTGAATTGAAGCTATAGTCTTGCGTTTTCTATGTCATAAATTACGTTACCATAGGTAACGTAATTGATAAATTCTATTGCACACATTTTCTGTCGTCAAATCTTTACAGGTATGTTCATTTATCAACTTGTATACTTTTCGTAGATGGGAAAGCATCCTGCTGAAATTCAAAAAGACTATAGTGAAAGGAAAAATCACCAAAAAGAGCGTGCTCGGGTTCATAAATGCATTGTCTCAATAGCTGAGTGCACTATCTGAAAAAGATAAAGACCATAAAAGAAAAAATTATGTCATTGCGCCCGAGACATGTTATGTTAGTCTCAGATAGCGTAATAATACAGGAGACAAATCAAAAAGAAGAGAGACTGTTAGCAATGACCTAAGTAATGCCGATAACAATGATTGTGGCCGTGTTTATGGCAGTGGTACAAGTAACACAAAATTAATAGTTCATATAAATTTTGCCTGGAATTTTGCAAGAGGACATGCATGGCTTTTTTAAAAAAACGGATAAGTAGAACTTGGGGACGTACGCACCCATAAAAAACAAAGCTCCCTGAACATAGATAAACATGGAAAAAACAATCACAAATCATTCCAAAGGATCTTACAGAAGCAGAGAAAATAGAACCAAGGGTCCAAGCACGCCAAAACACCAAAGAGTGCAGGGGAAAAGTGATGCGATGCAAACTTTAACATAGTGATATCCCTAGAGTTGAGGAGAAGATTAGTACGAGGAAAACACGTAGTTGAAGAGTTGAAGCAGACGCAACATGACTGGCGGGGAAATGCCTGAAAGAGTCTTCAAGTCTAGTTGATATAATATGACTAAAGGCGATGGAAGGTGATACAAGCTTAAGGGCCTTGCTTGGCTGGACAAAAATGTCTACCAAAAGCAAGGGAATATAAATTTGTTGAAGCAAATAAACAGTGTTAAAAGCGCCCCTCACAAAAGTGAAACAAACCAGGAATGACATACAAGAAGAGACAACATAGCTATCCAAGAGTATTCTGACGAGTGTGTAGTAGAGGAGTCAATTCCAACAGGGAAGGTTAAAGGGCTATTTAAACTCTAGATCTGTGTCCTGAGATTCAAACTCGTTTTCTATTGGATTTATATGTCCAAGCTAGGATTAAGTAACGTTTTCAGGAGTTCATATGTACCTATGATATTAGAGGGAGACACTGAATGTTGTTACTTTTTGACGATAATCACAAATTATATAGTATAGTTTTGATCTTGCGATTGTTAGTTTTGTAATCACTTACGTTACAAAGGATTTAGCATTACAATTGTGTGAAGAATGACTAAGTCCCTTTAATCCTGTATATATTCATTCCAACATATAGCGTATGTGACAATATATTAATTCATTACGTGTTTTGTGCATAAATAATGTTTGTGTTAGCTTTAATGTTTCTATTGCAAAAGTTAGTTAATTTCTCCATCATTTACGTTACTTGATGGTCCACTGAACTATGTTTGTTTTAAATGTTACTATTGGTTAAAATGCAGTGTAAACATGATAAAAGAAGCACCAGTTGATGGTTTAACCATGATCACATATGATATGACTCATTCTACGATGTTACTATTTTTGGATCATATACGTTACCAAGGGTGTAACGATATACAAATTTCAAATAAATTTTGTATGGCATAGCAAACACCAAGATATGGCTATCAATTGGTTCTGAACACTATTTCTAATCAGAAAAGAAAGATAAATTTAATGTTAACAGACTGATTTTCTATAAAATTGGAATGACATGTAGCACTTAGGTTTTGTTTCTGAAAAGGAATAATAAGTCACATGTAACTGTTGACTTCAATGTGAATTCTTTCCATTCATGTCTCTTCAAAATGCCTGATGTATGATTTAGTATTAAGACAAAATATATCCTTATTGTTAGGAACAAAAACAGACATGAGAATAATATGTTGAATGAAAATATAGGTCTCTTGCTACGACAACCCTCTATAACGTAAATGACAGAGACCTACTTTTTTAAATAAACACTAGATAAGCTTCAACATGTGACTTTTCCATGAAGGGGTATGAGATTGATGAAGATATTTTGACTTTAGATACTTAACATATATTCAAATAAAAATACATCAACTTTAAACCATTCAAAGCTACTTTAATTTTCGTCAGATTCATACCTGGAATTTGCATTCTTATTGAGAATGGATGAAATACGCTGCATTTATGCTGTCAGTTTGACATATGCTGATTGTACAAAATTACAGATATCACACTATTCCTAAAATAATGGCTACATGTCACAAAAATGATAAAAAAGGTCCTGCTGGGTTCGCCATTTGTGACATGTAAAACCATGGGCTTTCAATTAGAGTTGTTGAAAGCCCATGGTAAAACCAAATAAATAAGTATCTTATAAATAATTCTAAAATGCACCTTGATGCAAATATGTTTTTATTTATTTATATATTTATACAAAGAATACATTAAACAAGTACACATGTGCGTGTGGCTGGGCACCAGCATTATCAGCCACGTTATATGATAAAACTCAATTAACAGTATTCAATCAGACATTAAAATAGGGGCTGTATTTGTTGAGGGTTACAGTGGTGGGGGTGACCTGGACATTTAACATCGTTCAAAAAGAGGGCACTACATTTGAGGATATTAAGTTTACATCTTTAGGTAGTCTTTTATCACCATTGAGGATAAGGGAGAGTTTGTCTCGTCGTGATCTATATTTAGGAGAATATTCTATGTTCATATTCATTTTCAAATTCTGTCCAAAATGTTGATCTTAGATTACAGTGAAAATTACGTGATTGGTTGTTTCACCATCCATTCCACACTCACCCCGGAAGTGACAACGGTATCTGACTTTACCGTAGTCAGGCTAATCCGGTGTGACACTGGCAGATGGGGGAGTTTACATTAGTGAAATTATGAGCGTAGATGTGAGCCTTAAAAATGAGATCACAGCGCACTCTGAAAATTATTTCTTGTTTTCTTGAAACGGAGAATTTCTTATTTCAGGTGAAAGCTTATTCCATTCAGTAAGTGTTTTTGATATGCAAGATCTATTAGAAAATGAGGATTTATTTGGATTTGTGGAGCTCAGTTGATTTCTTAGACCATAAGCATGATTTATTTTGAGAGGCTCAAATATGTTAAGAACATAGGGCAGCATATTATTATGTGCCCTATACATGAAAGTACTTCTGTGATATTGACGCCTCTTAGTTAGTGTTGGCCAATTTAAATTATTCAACACTTTAATTGTCGAAGTCTTATGTAGAGTGCCTGAACAAATGCAAGCGGCTTTATAGTAAAGTCGGTCCGATAACTGCAATTTTTTTGTGTTTGTACACCCATATAAAATATCACCATTGTCAAAAAGTGGCAGGATAAAAGATTTCAAGATTGTTTCGAGATGTTTTCCATTTATTTTCTGATATAGCGGTTTTAGTGGATTTAAGACAAACTCCGTGAAACGAAACAAAATTACTAGAAAAAACATGGTACACATCATTTGCGCACATGAATCATTTGCTTCTGCATGCGCGGCACTTACCGTTAACAGCAAACCACAAGAAACAAACCTGGCGGAGATCAACCTTTCTTCATTTTAGCGAAATTTCAGCTCTTAAAATGTTAAAATTCAAGAAAATATGCCAACTTTACGACATGAATTTATTTGTTTCAGCACTGTACAATAAGGTAAGCCAAACAATAACATATTTTAGGCCGTATGTCTCACCTTAATTTAATAAGAATCAATAGATAATTAGCTAATTAAGTTAATACAGGAATGTTTGTAAGTAATTAATGAAACATATCTCTTTAATTGGGCTAATTAAATTATCATTTAATTGTACTAATTAGGCAAACTGTAAGAATCTGACTATATTTGACTGTACAAAAATGTTGACTGGCTTGCTTCCAAAGCATTTAAAGGCTAATGTTCTTAAACCATTAAAGGGTGGTGTTCATTGGGCCATATAAAGAATCAGCTGTGTTAATATGGTGGTGTATTTCAAATTTGTAATATAGATCTAAGTAACATCCAAGTTGTCACCCGGCGGCCGTAACCCTGACCGCAGATCAATTAAATCAGTGAATCTATGGCTGCCGTAGGAAACTGCAAAAGTATCAGACCGCGGAAGTTATAAGACGAGCGTAGAAATGTTACTGAATGACAAAAGAAATAATAGACCGTACTGTCTCCGTAACAAAAAACTGATAACAATCTCGCTGTCTATAGATTTTTATTGGGTCCCTTTTGCACTGTTGAATCCGTCTTGAGCTAGAGCAACGATTACTCCCATCACTTTCTCCCATGATGTCTTTTGGAACGGCGTAATGGTCGCACTCATCCTCTCAAAGAGAAAGGCAAGAAAGGCTTCTCTGAGATTCTGAAATAAAGGTCAAATCTTGATATAAAAGTGTTTAAGTTTGTAAAATGAATTGGTTTAGCTGAAGTTATTTTAGATATCTTTATGAAGTGAATAATGAATGTTCACATTTTCACCTCAAATGCCCCTGCAGTAATGCCCCTGGGCGCGTGGTCCGAACCAACACCTTTTATGATCCCAACGAGCTCCGAAACATTGTACAAATTCTCCACCATGTCGTTGATCTTATTAAAAACTTTACCAGCATGTATTTTGAAAAATGCATGTTCCTCAAGGTCGTCCAATTCCACATCTTTGAAGGGAAAATATCCTTGCATTTCCGGAAACATTTCGAAGAACCTAAATTAAAGGCAGAATCAGATCTAAAGGGATTAAAAAAGCAAGCAATATGTACTTTACTATCGATGGAACAATGTGTTCTTTACAAGATCAAATATAATATCTCCCAAAAGATTCGTGAAATGTTTTCAATTGGCGTAGCTATTTAAGATTCAAAGTGCAAAAATAAGGGAAAATATTTATTAATTAGTTCTCTCAAATAGAGAGAATGGTAACCACTCTCATAGACAAATGATTACATTATTGTAAAATTTTTTAGTTTTCCACAAAGAATATACTTGGGATGTTTTTAGAAAATAAACATGACAAGGAATGAATTGAGCCAAACATATTACAAAATTGAAACACTTTTCGTCGAGATGATCATGAGGCACCAAAGTAACGAACATAATTGCTAGGTCTGATCTTACAAAGGGACAATAGAGGTCCATGCAATGGAATCTGAAGGGCAACTACGTTCAATGCCCTTCGCGGTCCTTTCTAATCTTGATCCTCAAATCAGTGGTATCATATCAAATTCTCACTTTTTAAAAAAGAGGAACCCATTTTTTGCCTTTTCTTGCATTACCACAGCCCAAGTGTCTCTGATTGCATTTTTCTCCCGTGGGGTGAGTCCAGTCCCGGGTTCGACCGTGTCCATGTAGTCTTCTGAAACAAATGTATAACATATTATTAAGATATTATCGCCCATAAGGTGATTCCTCATGAAAAAATCCATGACAATGCGATATTTGGTAATAATTCAAATAAGTGATTTATTTTGCAAACATTAATGTTTATTTCTTAGTTCTTTTAGAGACTAAACCCTGTGTGGATACCAAACATCGATATAGCCCTATTTGACCACCGTGCATGAAAATATTTAAATCCCGAATCCCTTAATCTCAAAATGTTGTAGCCCAGAATGTAAAGCAACGGATCAGTGGATGTAACAAAATGGCGGCAAAAGTAAGCCAATGATTCCATTACAACATTCATCGAAATAACAAAAGGTTGAGCCACTTAACTCCAAATTAAAATTCAAGTTCTTATCCGAATACAACAAAAAGTATTACGTACTTCTCTGGTACGTCCTACTTAGAAGACTGTTTTTACTTTTGATGTTGACAGCAATTGATAACTTTTAAACTTTACAATCTATTAAATCATGTATTCACAAATAAACCGTCACGATGCATCATAAACGTTTATATAAACGCATATACACAAGTTTTTTCCTAATATTACATTTGTTTAACACTCGTCTATAAAACAGATCTTTTCAAGTTCATTTTCGTTATAAGGTTATCTTTTCTTGACCAATTAGAAATGGATTTTTTTATGATGGCACTTTTGTGGTTTAAAGTCTCTCTCCGTTGGTATCAACTTGGTCAACATGCTAAGTGAGCCGATGAACATTCTGCAAAGGTCAGAAGTCAAGGTCATTCAAAGGTTAAAAGGAAACTATCTAGATCTACGGCTTTTTGAAACCCTTGGTCTCTGATGAGACGCATATACACTGTTTTTTTCCTAATATTACATTTGTTTAACACCCGTCTATAAAACAGATCTTTTCAAGTTCATTTTCGTTATAAGGTTATATTTTCGTGACCAATTAGAAATGGATTTTTTATGATGGCACTTTTGTGGTTTTAAGTCTCTCCGTTGATATCAACTTGGTCAACATGCTAAGTGGACCGATGAACATTCTGCAAAGGTCAGAAGTCAAGGTCATTCAAAGGTTAAAAGGAAACTATCTAGATATTCGGCTTTTTGAAACCCTTGGTCTCTGATGAGACCTTTGACAAACTTTACATATTGATGGTGCTACTCATATACATGTATGGTTCATGTATAGTGTTCACATGTATCTTATATGACTCAACATTAAGCTATACCATATATATACAAGGGGCGATCTATATATTCTGATAAAAAATGCTCTCATTTCATATCGGCATACAAATCGGTGTCTCGTAGAATACTAGATTGCTTCGCCATCTAAATGTGAAATAATAGTTTAAAATAACGCTGCAGTTTATGACTCAACAAGAGTAGATCCCTTCAAAGTACAGGTAGTACGTCAGGAAATCGATGCGTTCTTGCGCATTCCTGCAGCTGTACTGACATAACGGCGCTTCGTAGTATTTTTCGTCCCTTGAAATGGAACCATTGCTTCGCATGGTCGGTACCATAAAGAACTATGTACAATTATACAGATAACCTCCTTAAACGAAGGGAATGACGTCCCTCTATTCTTGCGCATACGCGATATATTTTATGAAAAAGACGAAAAAAATATTTTGCTGGAATAAATAATTCTAGGCATTATAAGATAATAATTGGAGTTTTTCATCTGATAAGTTTTGTAACGTTTATGGTTTAAAAATATTTTTGTGAATTTTAATAAACGTTTTTCTTTTTTCTTCTTTTTTCTTAACATTTTTGGCAAATCCAATAAACAGTTTCACGATGTTTTTTACATTATTTTGTTATTTTATTTATTTTGTTGTGTTATCCCAAAAATGGTAGAGGTCAATGCCTTATAGATGCATTGCCTAAGAAGGAGGTTTTATCAAGTGCGAACGTAATACCCGGAACGTTCGTTTTTTACCGCATTCGATCTGAATCGTCGTTCGGTTGTTTACCGCATCCGATCTGATTATATGGTTTCATGTCATGTATGCGTTTAACCAAGGGAAAGATCAATACCCGGTGATTTCAGCGGGAAGTGGCGTTTCGTTCATTGGATGAGCTGCGCGCGCACGCATAAATGTGATTATCCAATATAATTAGGGGAGGGCTATTTGAAGTAGTTTTTGGTCTCAGGCGCGACCCAGGGCTGTTGTCTTAAGGACATTTCGTTGAAAATGAGCCATTCGGCTGATAATTGGTAAGAGTTTGCGATCTTATAATGTATAATTGTTACTCAGACACATATTTTGACACGATTCTGTTGGAAATAAGCTTTGAACCGAGAGATATTCACGATTGATATGCACATTTTTGATTGTGCCATTGCTTTTCTATTGCACAACCCATGTATTGATAGAAGAAACATTAATAATACAGATTGGTTTACCTTCAATACATGGCAGACACTACATATCGGTCTATTAATACCAGTTTGTGCCTTAAATAGTTTTATATTTCCATCCACGGCCTGGAGCCTGGGTGTGTTTGTCTCTTATGTGTATGCTTGTGCATGGACTTCTAATCACTAGCAGAATTTAACATGATGCAAACTCGACATTATAACTCATGCTGTAACATTTTGACTTCGCTGGATAACAATAGGAATTATTTTTCTTGCCAATCAATCATGAATCACAATCAAAATTTCAGAATGATCAATCAGGCAATGATCCAAATCAAGTTATAACATTATATGATATTCAGCAAGAAGTCCGGTAGAAATACAGAACATTTAAACATCAAAACTGAAAGTTAAAAGCTAATCTGTCAATTTTCTGTCTGCAAAAGAGCGTCCCAAGAGCGTTTACATTTGACACAATAACAGACTGAGGCCTTGAAATCTAGGATTCCCCAGGAAAATATGACGTCATACTAATTAGCATAAGGATTTCCCTATTGGGGTGGGTCGAGCCTTGTTCGAAAACACAATCCATAAATACATGCTAATTTCTAAGGAGATAGGAAGTGTATAACGTGTTTATCGATTTTGTTTAAAGATTTAATCAATTATCAAATTGTTTAAGTGGATAAAGTGGTCACACTTGCTTCAATTCATAGCGAAATCGACGGATAGAAACTGACCGAATTCCCGATATCCTACCCCGTATTACTGTAGGCTATAAGCACAGTGACCTACAGAGGGCGCTATCACAAACAAGTACTGGACGAACCGATAAATTCCCGGGTATTGTAACGCCCTTGGTTTAACCATAGCATATAACAATATTTTATTCTGGCAAAGCACACTAACCAAGTTAATTAATAAATCACTTAGTTTGTTTTTCTTATCTAAGCGAACGAGAGTGAGATTATTAAACGATTTTCTTATTGAATTAACATTACGATACGATGAAGATAATAGTATACTGATAAGTATTCTGTAAATGTTAACGTTAAAGAAATAAAGCAAACTAGGTTAATTGCCGGATAGTTAGGCAGAGAAAAAAATACTCGACTGATTAAGCATGATGAAAAATATTTTGCGTAAGGCATGCCGAGATTAAAATTATTGGATCTATAGATTTGACCGATTGCAATCCGGTCCATCAATATATCGGGAAAAAAGTATGGTCTTGACAAGGGATAAGTTACATTGGATAATTGTTTTCAGAAAAAATATATCGAATAATGGGACATTCTTGGTTCTGTTCCACTCGCTAGTTATACACTCCCCTCCATAAGTTTGGCAACTGAAAGTTCCCCTTTAATCACATATCAGAGCCTGTTTATATTTGACAGTTTAAAGAAATTCATCAAAGTCGTAAATGCTTAAACTAAACATTATTGTAATTAAGGAAAAAATAATGATTCAAAACCAGCAGGCTTTGGTATGGTATCTCATGAAAACACCCGATTGCCAAACTTATGGAGGGGGTGTAACCACTGGTATCTGTTAGCGCTAAGTGCGTTTCAGGTTTACTATCTTGCCGCTCACTTAGGTGCAGTATTAACTTTGCTTTTATTAGGTGGTAAACGATATGGGGCATATTTCCTATTTACCACACAGATTAAAGCCTCCGAAAATCCCCATAATCCCTGGGACATCTAAATCTACCTTTTAAATTAGTGTTTAACAAAAACGAAAAATGAGGGAAATTAAAGTGATAGCGTATATTTAAATTTCATTGACGCAAATGAGTATATCTACATTTATCCTATGCCAAGTAGAGTTTTAGGGAGATAAGTTGGTAAGATATATCCCGTATCTTGATTTTGAGGTTTCCATATCCTGAACCTCCATATCTCCTGCCATATCTCCCTCGTGAGATATGCACATCTACCTTCGGTCCCTATGGTCCCTCAGGTAGATATGCATATCTCCCTCTGGATAAACCCCATATCCAAAACCTCCCAGTACATAACCCTTATGTATCCTCTTTATTAGCTTTGTTTCGCGTAGTCAAAAGGGGGTTATTTACTGCTAGCAATTTAGCAGTAGCGGATCCAAAAGCTAACAAGTGGTGGGGGGGGGGGGCATATTTCAAATCAGAGAAAAAATTCCTCGGAAAAAAGTTATCGGCCCCTAAATCCCAAAAATCTAGAAAATATAAGGCCAGAAAAGGCCAATTAATGCCCAAAAAGGCTCACTAATTGAAGCCTTACACCATTTTTTGGCCCAAACATATTTTTTATGTGCCCACCCGGTGGTTTTGGGAGTATGCGCCAGTGCTTAGCATCAAAGTCGGTTCTTCTATATATCGTTCTATTGTATAATATAGTACTATTTGTAGGATATCCTATGATTTGGAGGAATATCATTTTTATCTACGAGGTGACATTGATATATTTTGATATCTGCAATTTATTATTAACATCGTATATGACATCGTTCAAGTAAGTATGTGAAACGAGTTTAAATTGTCTCACGTAGGAATCAGATTCTCATCCATATACCCCTCTCCCTCCTCCTGCTCCCGAATTTGTGTTCCACGGTCTCATTTATCTCTGGGAGAGAAAAAGACCAGGTTTGGTGAAAATGGAATCAGAATCAGAATACTACTCCCCTATTCAAAGTATCAAAAATAATTTAGTCTAAACATGAACGGGATTTTGGACGATATTCAATTGGTTGCCATAATTTTGGTTTAGAGGGTATCGTTTTTCCACTAAGATGACAGGTCAACCATATTTCAAGGGATAAGTCTAAAACAGCCAGTATCACTATATAACGACATTTATACGGTTCAACATTCATGTCGATTCGTTAGACAAACCCTCATATGTAATCGAGGAAAGATGTCTTTAGAGCGACCCTCCTGGGGATAACTGATTAATGACATCTTCATGGCGAACTGTCAGTTCTTTTTCTCGAGTTCACTATCGGTTACATTAATATGAAAGTTCATGACATTTACTGTGGAGTTTAGTTAGGAGTTTAATAATCTCAAAATA